CTTGAAGAGTCAGCCAGGTGTGTGGTAGTTTGGCCATCGGTCTTTCTGTTTTAGACATGCTCCTGAGTGGCTTGGCTCTGCTCTGGTTAGGAAGAAAAAGCTACATTAACTGTACTTTGCAGCTTTTCATCACCCCCCTACCCCCTGCCTGCCCCACAGATGTTTAGGGGAACCGCTTATGTTATGGTTTGCATCATACTGTTATGTTTGCTGCCTCTTAAAATCCAGGTTACCTGTGGAACCTCCAAGTGAAACTTGAGCCCATAGTAAATCTCTTGCCAGACAAAGGAAGATTGATGGACTTTCTTCTCCAGAGAAAGGAATGCAAGATGGTCATCCTGTCTGTCTGTTCACAGAGTAAGTTGAATCTTTCCCCCTTGGTCTGGTTCCAGTGAGGTCTGTGCTGCCAACACTTTTTATTGGGTTGTAGGCTACATCGTTATGCCTTGTCTGTAACTCAGAGCCTAATTCTTTATGTGAGGGGTGGTTATGGGACCCCCTGGGAAAGGCTGTTAAATGGAAAGATGACTTGTAGAGATACTGGTAGAAAATAACAATAAATAGGATGGTTCTGAATCAAAGCAGACCTAAAGGTGGACACACAGGAGGGGAGTGGGCTACCACCCCTGGCTTTCACACACACCTTTTTCAGAATCCAAGCCACTGACTGCATATGTGTCTTCTTTAAGAATCCCCTACAGAGGCCAGGCATGGTGATTCCTGCTTATAATCCCAGCACTCTGGGAGGCTGGGACATGAGGATTGCCTGAGCCTAGGAGTTTGAGACCAGCCTGGACGACATGGCGAGACACTGTCTCTACAAAAAAAAAAATTAGCTGAGTTTGGTGGTGCATACCTGTGGCCCCAGCTGCAGAGGGAGGACTGCTTGAGTCCAGGAGGATGAAGCTGCAGTGAGCTGTTTATGCCAGTGTACCCCCAGCCTGGGCGATAGAGCAAGGCCCTGTCTCAAAAAAAAATCCCCTTCCAATATGTGCTGTTGGTGTTTTGTTGTTTTTGTTTTTGTTTTGGTAGAGATGGGGTCTTCCCTTGTTGCCCAGGCTGGTCTCAAACTCCCAGCATTAAGTGATCCTTCTGCCTCAGCTTCCCCACAGTGCTGGGAGGGATTAGGGGCATGAGCCACTGAGCCTGGCCTGCTATAGCTTTTTTTTTTTTTTTTTTTTTTAACTGTAACCAGAAAGGGGTTATGAATGACATCTAGGTGTCAGGATTTTAAAGTATTACATTTCTTGGAGTGTCCTTTAAAGGCACTTTTGCATTGGTAACCTTTTGAGATTAGTTTTTATCACAGCAACGTGTGGAGATTCTGAAGCTGACCTGAAGTCGGTTTGATCTGTGTGAACATTGTGCCTTTCCAGTGTTAAGTGAGTCAGACAGAGCATCGCTGCCCGTGATAGCCACTGTTTTTGATAAACTCAACCATGAGTATAAGAAGTATTTGGACGCAGAGCAGAGTTATGCAATGGTGAGTACATGGAGTATAACGAAGGGTTCTCCTCCTCCATCCCCTCCCAGTATTTTCTGAGTAATTATGACGCAAAATTATTTCCTATGATTAGAATAATGTTACTGAGATTTGCTGCCTGCCATAGGGCAAGTTGGCAGTAGTGGGGGAGTAGTCAATTCAGGGCCCTGCATCCCATGAGCTGGAGGCTGCATCTCACTTCATGCCTTCACCGTTTTCATTTTACCCATCTGTGTTTGATCTTGCCTGTAGATCGTTGGTCTACCTGTTTTATGGATGAGAAAAATCAGTCTCCGCTTTGCAATATTTTGTGTATTTTTCTGTTAAGCCAGAGCTAGGACCTAGTAAATTAAATTAGAAATATAATTTCTATTTGTCACACCTTTCTTTCCTTTTAGGATCTAAGTAAGAGTGATCCTAGCAGTCAGCCAGCATCCTGTTGAGATAGCGATGATTCAGTTTTAGCACTTGGCAGGGATATTTGTAGTGAAAGTAATAACCATGGCTTATTGCTACCAAGTTCCGCTGTATTACTTGTACATCATATCTTCTGAAGCGAGAAGGAAGAAAAGTTTAGGACAAGGAGAATGAATGATTTCACTTCAAGAATCTGATTAGTCCCAGGCAGAAAATGGTTTTAAACAACAAAAGCCCCAGAACTCCACTCCCCTTTAGCTGTTCACAGAAGGGTAAGAGGTCTGGGACAGGCTACTGAAGAGAGCCAGTTGCCTGGATAGTGTCCATTCCCACCCTGACAGACATAAGGGATGGCTGAGTCCTTCTGGACCCTACTGCTGTGAGTGTCCTGGGCTGAGGGAATCAGTAGGTTTGATCCCAAGTGGCAGTTTCTGTGCTGTCCCACACTGTGTCTGCTGGGCTTCAGAAACTGTCACGACTTAGCAGTGTGGGCCAGTAACCAGCCACATGAGCAGCACCTGGAGTTTCTTGGAAATGTAGGTTCCCAGGCCGCACGCCACAGCTATTGCACAATCTGCATGGATCTGAACTGTTTGAAAACGTGAGGTAAGGTCGTTAAGGTCTCGCTGAGCTTTCCTATTCAGAAGGACTTGGGGTGCTCTGGCTTCCCACTTAAAAATCCCTGGAGACTCCATGCAGGAGCTACTCACTTATTGCAGGATCAGGACTTCATAAAGCAGGGATGCAGCAGCCATTTCATTTTTGCCAGATAACAAATGCCTATAGTCCAGGATTAAGACACTTAGGAAGTTAAAAAATTGCAAGAGGTTAAAGTAAGATATATCTTAAGAGAAAACTCTTTTCAGTTTCATCTACCATGAAGATTGGAGTATTTTCAAGATGACCAATTCTGACTTCCTAGATTCTCCCCAGCCAGCACAGGAAAACCGGTTTTATCTAAGTCGAGAAAGAAGTCTTCTGCTCATATCCTAGGTCCACAAGAATTCAGTCCTTTTGGTTGAACTGTAAACAGCACCCTTCCTCTAAGATGCTGAAGATCACAGTTTGTGGTTTCTTCTTTCAGGCGGTGGAAGCAGGGCAGAGCCGAAGCAGCCCACTCCTCAAGAGGCCGGTGCGGACCCAGGCGGTGCTGGACCAGTCTGACGTGTACACCCATGTGCTGTCAGCCTTCGTGGAAAAGAAGGTGGGCTGCAGCTTTCCACCTGTTCTGGACTGAGAATGCTCAAAACAAGGAAGTTGGGGAATGAGGAGACTTCATGTGATTAGAATCACTGGTTTCCTTGGGTGAGGACCTAGAGCTGGTAGCTTGGCTTCTAATACTCAGGCCTAAAGCATAATCGTTGATGGGGGTGGTTCTGGGGCGATTTGTGCAACACCAGTGAAAGATGAGCACGGGGCCATTTTAATGTGGAAACAAGGCGGGGGTTGGATAGAGTTACATGCAGCCCCTTTTGCACCTCTTGGTATTTATAAAACCACATTTTTTCTCCCTAGGAGATGCCTCACAAATTTGTGATAGCTGTGCTGATGGAATACATTCGTTCTCTTAACCAGTTTCAGATTGCAGTACAGGTACCTTCAAATCAGCTGGTCCCAAGTTAAAGCAGCAGGAATTTAGAAGAAAAAAAAAAAAAAAGCATTGTCACTCTCTTAACTTAGAAGATTATTCTTATATGCTAAGACAGGTCAGCCTCCCTGACTTGGAATGTTGAGTGACTCTCCTGACATTAGTTGGAATGGGAAGTATAATGTCCAGTCGGGGTCTTTATCTGCTTGATGAAACCACTTCTGGTAGTAACAGACTTTTACTGCGTGGGTTAGAATAGCCACAGTCCTCGGGGAGCCCCCAGTCTGTTGCAGCTGAATGATTTGGAAGTGTTCTTTCACTTTGTACTTTTTTCCTCAGCATTACCTACATGAACTTGTTATCAAAACACTTGTCCAGCACAACCTCTTTTATATGCTGCATCAGTTCCTGCAGTACCACGTCCTCAGTGACTCCAAACCTTTGGTATGCATTGCCAGATTTTTACTTCCGTTGTAGTTAAAAAAAACGGAAAATTTTAACCTTTAACCCTCCAACTGAAGCGGGTCTGAAAATGTCTTTCAGGCTTGTCTGCTGTTATCCCTAGAGAGTTTCTATCCCCCTGCTCATCAGCTCTCCCTGGACATGCTGAAGGTAACTGATATGTCAGGTTTAGACTATGGAAAGTTGCTCTGTTTCTGTTTGCACTGACCTGGACTTCTTTCCCTTATTCCTAGCGACTTTCAACAGCAAATGATGAAATAGTAGAAGTTCTTCTTTCTAAACACCAAGTGTTAGCTGCCTTAAGGTTTATCCGGGGCATCGGTGGCCATGACAACATTTCTGCACGAAAATTTTTAGATGCTGCAAAGCAGACTGAAGACAACATGCTCTTCTATACAATATTCCGCTTTTTTGAACAGCGAAACCAGCGTTTGCGAGGGAGTCCCAATTTCACACCAGGTGAGAATACAGTAGCAATGGAAAGACTTCGGGTAAGCAACTGTAGCCTCAAAGAGTAGCAGAGGGCACTGGGGTGGGTGAGGACTCCTGGTTAGCTTTTTTTATAAAGAGTACAATTTCATACTAGCCCTCAGCCATTATTTGTAGTAGTGTGAGTTCAGTGTGCTGACGGAATCTGAATTATGCTCTGGAACTCACTGAGGAGGCATGTTTTGAGTCAAGACACATTTAGGACCCAGATCAGGCACAACCCATCTCTTATAGCAGATCTTGGAATATCTCTTGAAGCCAGGAATAAGATGGCAAATGGTGGCTAAGGATTTTAAAGGGCCTGGGGCTTATTAAGCCTTCAGTTTTATGAAGGACACATTGGCTGATCATTCTTATCTCCAAATAGTTATAAACTCTAAGACATCATCTTCTTCGGGATAGAGAAGGATCAGGGCTCTCTAATGAGACTATTTTAGGTCTCACCAACTTTTCCTAGCTTAAGGTAAGATGGCATTTAGTTACCGTAAGGACAGGTTAGAATCTCTTCCTTCAGCTTTTCTATCTCCCTCTCAAAGCAGATAGAAAGGGCAACCCAAAATCTTAGGAAACCAATGTATTTTATTAAAGAAAAATAAGTTAAAACCCAGTAGACACACCTACTTTATTTTTCCCTTGTTCGTGCCACATCTAACTGGCGATTAAATCTCTTCCTTTCTAGGGGAACACTGTGAAGAACATGTTGCTTTTTTCAAACAGATTTTTGGAGACCAAGCTCTAATGAGGCCTACAACATTCTGAACTCACTTGCTGGTTTTTTTTTTTAATATATAAAAATGTGTACAAAGTTAATTTATTGCATTAATAAAGCTCTTTAAACTATAAAATGTTATAATAAAGTGTATCTACAACCTCAAATTTCACTAAAAATGTGGTATAGAACTTGTGGGATGGCTTGCTCCTAAAAGGAGAGACAGTGCATTGATTGGCCTTTACAAAGTGTCTGTCAGTGAGCAGATCACATTCACAGTCATCTAGTGTCACCTCCTGCTTGCTAAAGAATGAGGTTTCTTTCCTGAAGAAGCGGGGAGAAGTTTAGTGTCCTGTGGTTGCCTCCAGATTTAGTAATACTGCTTCCCAAGTCAACTGTGCATTCCTGAGTTCACAGGCGCTATGTTCAAAGCTGCTGCCAAATAGCCTGGTGGTTGGCGCCATCCGGTGTTCAACTTGGCCTTACCGATGCAGCGCCCGTCCAGTGGTAAACCGACCGACCCTTAGACACAGTTCAGTCAGCGTGCCCTGTGAGAGGGCTAGAAGTTTAGAAGCCGTTCGCGCTCTGTTCCTTTGTATCGCTCTTCAGTGGCATGACTTTTGGCTTTATTTACTGATGGCCCTATGAGAGGAAAAAAATTGCTTTTATATCTGCAGGAGAAAGGGAGCTAGTTGGCTGGGCACTCATGTCTGTAATCCTAACACTTTGGGAGACTGAGGCAGGAGAATTGCTTGAGACCAGCCTGGTCAATAGGGTGAGACTGACCTCTCTCTCTCTCTTTTAGAGATGGGCTCTTTGCTTTCTTGCTCAGCGTGGAGTGCAGTGGTGTAAACACGACTCACTGCATCCTGAGCCCATTCTTCTGGGCTCAAGCAAGCTTCCTGCATCAGCCTACCAAGTAGGTGGGACTGCAGAGGCACACCATTCACCTGGCTAATTTTATTCTGTAGAGATGGAGGCCTTGCTATGTTGCCTAGGCTGGTCTCAAACGATTCTCCTGCCTCAGCCTCCCGAAGTGCAGTCTTTTTTGGAGCTAGTATATTAGATTGTAATAGAACTAGTTTCTATCCCCTGGAGATGATAAAAAGCCCCTCATCTTCTTAATCTACTGCAATGCTTCCATTTAGTTACAGAGCTATAAATCAAGCAAATCAGTACTGTTCTTTCAACCATGGGTCATTTTTGTGCAAGGTGAAGTGGCCATGGAAATAAAAGGATCAAGGATAGTCTCAGATGAATAGCAGAGGCAGCACTTTGCTAAGAACAGGACATCAATGAGGGACAGCACTGCTGGTGTGAGAGCCGAGTGCGATGGACTTCTTCATCTCAGCAGGGAGGAGCTGCCCCCTGCTGACACTCAGATCCATTCAAGCGCTGACTGCAGGCCTCTGTGAAGCAGACACATCAGGCCTCCAGGAAAAACATCAGCAACTTACTAATGAAGTAGTCTGCACCATCATGAAGCCCCTGGATGGGCTTTTTCTTAGAAGAAATTTTTTTACCCTGTATCATTTATCAAATGACCATTAATATGAGTTCAAATACTTGAAAAGAATGCCTCAGGATAGAATTCCCTTTCAGTAACGTGCTACTCTTGTGCCCCTCTTTTAAGACAAGAACTCTTACCTATGTAACTGAGTAAGACAGGGAGAAATATTAATCCATGTGTGGCTCCCAGTAAGACCATAGCCAAGTACATCCTGAAGTAGAATATCTGGAAAATTTGAGATTTGGCAAAAGCCAACACCACAATCCCTCCAAATTTTGTAAGTGTGATTCCACTGAATACCTAAAAGAAGAGATACCGTGTTAGAAACCACTTTTACCAACCTGTAATGGAACACTTCCTTAAAAGGATTTCTCCTGGGTCCAAGTGATTCTCCTGCCCAGCCTCCCACGTAGCTGGGATTATAGGTGCGTGCCACCACACCCGGCTAATTTTTGTGTTTTTAGTAGAGTGGGGTTTCACCATGTTGGCTCAGCTGGTCTCGAACTCCTGACCTCAAGTGATCTGCCTGCCTTGGCCTCCCAAAGTGCTAGGATTACAGGCATGAGCCACTGTGCCCAGCCCTTATGAGGATTTCTTAATATTCAAGGTTCAAAGCAATGGGAATGAACCCAGGTAGCATCATCTACTACCTAATACTGTTTTATTTGCTGCCTTGTATTCTGCATAGACACTGCATTGTGTCTCTAAATCGAATATCTTTATATTCTCAGGTGAAAAATATTTAAAAGTGTTCAAAACAAAGTTTTAGTTTTTACTCTTTACCAGGTATTTTCTACAGTGGTAAAGAGACAGGCTAAGCCAGGGTGTAGAGTTGAACCAAGATGGCTCTCTAGGCACCAGCCACACATCACACACTGGGTTCTGGGCCGGGGCTCCCCTGCTTGTATTTTGAACGGAAAAGACTACCAGCTGTCTCACGTTTAACTTTTGTTATTTTCCTGCTTCAGCAAGCTGCCACTTAAAAAGGAGCGGCACCAACAGGTACAGTTCCACAGAACATCCATTCTGTCCACGATGTGGCAGCTGATTCATGCACTGCCTGAAAGCTTGCAATCCTTAGGAGCTGCTTTCTAAGTACAGGATCCAGATTCTGCAGTCACTGAGCGGGACACTTGATGGTGCGACTCTGCCCACATGGGCTAGATCAGGGTACTCACAGAGCTGCCCATGTGGGCGAGTGCCTCTTCTGCGCGGTCCACACGGCTGCCCTTCGTGCTCACCGTGAACGCTCTGGTTATGTGGCTGCAAAACTCCACGGAGATGCCACAGCTCTGAAATAAAGCACCTCCTTTAGGATGGCTCTCTTCCTGTTGAAGACCCTAAGGAGCCACCCCGCTCCCAGGATAGGGGCTAATTACCTGGGTGCTAGAGGAGGCCAAGCATCCCCTTGGACTTATAATACAAGGCCTCCATCACACCAATCTATACTGTACCAGGAACTTTGGGGCCCTCTCTACACAAAGCCAAAGGCCTGGTTTTCTGTGGCACATTTGCTTTGATCAGGAGAAACTGCTGGAACCTCTTAAGGTCTCCTCACCCACACCAAGCCAGCAAACTGTCACGACATCTTTTCTTGGACCTCACTGCTCCCCTATCTGAAGCAGGTTCATATCTGAGAGAACAGATGCGCTGTTCTATTTTCCATGAATACCTTCTTGAACGCTCTCATCTTTAATGATTAAAAGCACCTGGCAACCTCACGTGAGGCAAAAGGCACTGGGTCAGAGACGCCCTGGGGTGGGGTGCAATTTTCTAAGTAAAAAGTGAACATCCTGCTGTCTTTAGACTATGTGCTTGTGCAATCTCTTCAGAATAACAAATTACAGGCAGAATATCCCAGAGCTAGGCCAGGAAATTACATTTCCATGGTTAGAGGCAGGTATTCCATGGTATTCCATCAGGTATACTAGTACAGCTGCAAAGAATGGGACAAGAGAAAAAAACTGAACTAAAGAGAAATTCCCTGTAATGTGCCGCTGCTCCCAGATGTCCCAGTCCATGCTCGCTCCGTCTATGCCCTGTCCGACCTCCATCCAGCACTCATCCTGCCTCTCCGTGTGTGCCAAGAGCAGCGCCAGACTGGTATCTTACTCCATTTTAGGGTTTACATGGAATCTAAGACAGCAATTCCCCTAAGGAAATAGGAGCTACGGACAAACTGAGAATGGACGAGGACTCACCATCACCAGGTTGACCAAGGACACAGCGTTCAGACTGATGCCCCAGAGCCACATAACTCCAAACATGTTGACCAAGACCATGGCGATGGTGGTGCACATGATGACAGCGGACCACAGCTCACAGCCCAGGAGGACCATGGTTACCAGAAATATGGCGCCCAGGGACACGCCGAGGTTGAAGACAGTGTCGTCAATGATGGTCAGGTACTGTTCGTAGAAGACATAAAACACACTGGAGAGGAGAGGGGAGGCCCCGTTAAAGCTCGCTCTCACTCCCAGAAACTGCGTGTTCATCCCGTCACCACTGCCAAGCAGTCAGACTCCTTTGGGTAACAACCCTTGCAGAAAATCTTACTGGCTGTCTGCAAGACTCATCTAAAGCAACTCACTTGACTTCTGATGGCCACTGACCACCCAGAGAAGCGCCCAGCAGTGATGCAAAATTTGTATTTTTGACAAAGTTTTTGTTATAAGCCCAATCTATGCTATTTTTTTTTTTATTGTACTTTAGGTTCTGGGGTACATGTGCAGATCATGCAGGAATGTTGCATAGGTACACACATGGCAATGTGGTTTGCTGCCTCCATCCCCCCATCACCTACATCTGGCATTTCTCCCCAGGTTATCCCTCCCCGACCTCCCCACCCCCCTGCTGTCCCTCCCTTGGCGCCCCCACCAATAGACGCCAGTGTGTGATGCTCCCCTCCCTGTGTCCATGTGTTCTCATTGTTCATCGCCCGCCTATGAGTGAGAACATGTGGTGTTTGATTTTCTGTTCTTGTGTCAGTTTGCTGAGAATTACGGTTTCCAGATTCATCCATGTCCCTACAAAGGACACAAACTTCATTTTTTATGGCTGCATAGTATTCCATGGTGTATATGTGCCACATTTTCTGTCCAGTCTATCGTCAATGGGCATTTGGGTTGGTTCCAGGTCTCTGCTATTGTAAACAGTGCCACTATGAACATACGTGTGCATGTGTCTTTAAAATAGAACGATTTATAATCCTTTGGATATATACCCAGTAATGTGATTGCTGGGTCAAATGGAATTTCTATGTCTAGGTCCTTAAGGAAGCGCCACACTGTTTTCCACAATGGTTGAACTAGTTTGCACTCCCACCAACAGTGTAAAAGTGTTCCTATTTCTCCACATCCTCGCCAGCATTTGTCTCCAGATTTTTTAATGATCGCCATTCTAACTGGCGTGAGATGGTATCTCAATGTAGTTTTGATTTGCGTTTCTCTAATCAGTGATGATGAGCATTTTTTCATATGTTTGTTGGCCTCATGTATGTCTTCTTTTGTAAAGTATCTGTTCATATCCTTCGCCCACCTTTGGATGGATTTGTTTGTTTTTTTTTTTCTTGTAAATCTGTTTTAGTTCTTTGTAGATTGTGGACATTAGCCCTTTGTCAGATGGGTAGATTGCAAAAATTTTTTCCCATTCTGTTGGTTGCCGGTTTACTCTAATGATTGTTTCTTTGGCTGTGCAGAAGCTGTGGAGTTTGATTAGGTCCCATTTGTCTATTTTGGCTTTTGTTGCCAATGCTTTTGGTGTTTTAGTCATGAAGTCCTTGCCTATGCCTACGCCCTGAATGGTTTTGCCTAGGTGGGGTTTTTATGGTGTTAGGTCTTAAGTCTTTAATCCATCTGGAGTTAATTTTAGTGTAAGGTATCAGGAAGGGGTCCAGTTTTTGCTTTCTGCACATGGCTAGCCAGTTTTCCCAACACCATTTATTAAACAGGGAATCCTTTTCCCATTGCTAGTTTTTGTCAGGTTTGTCAAAGATCAGATGGTTGCAGATGTGTGGTGTTGCCTCCAGGGCCTCTGTTCTGTTCCATTGGTCTATAGCTCTGTTCTGATATCAGTACCATGCTGTTTTGATTACTGTAGCTTTGTAGTATAGTTTGAAATCAGGTTGTGTGATGCCTCTGGCTTTGTTCTTTTTGTTTAGGATTGTCTTGGCTATGAGGGCTCTCTTTTGGTTCCATATGAAGTTTAAGGTGGTTTTTCCAGTTCTCTGAAGGAGGTCATTGGTAGCTTGATGGGGATAGCGTTGAATCTATAAATTATTTTCACAATACTGATTCTTCCTAACTATGAGCATGGAATGTTTCTCCAACTGTTTGTGTACTCCAGTATTTTCTTGAGCAGTGGTTTGTAGTTCTCCTTGAAGAGGTCCTTTACATCTTTTGTTAGTTGTATTCCTAGGTATTTTATTCTCTTTGTAGCAATTGTGAATGGGAGTTTGCTCATGATTTGGCTCTCCATTAGTCTGTTATTGGTGTATAGAAATGCCTGTGATTTCTGCACATTGATTTTGTATCCTGAGACTTTGCTGAAGTTGCTTATGAGTTTAAGGAGATTTTTGGGCTGAGATGATAGGGTATTCTAAATATACAATCATGTTGTCTGCAAATAGAGACAATTTGACTTCCTCTTTTCCTAGCTGAATATCCTTTCTTTTTTTTCTTGCCTAATTGCTCTGGCTAGAACTTCCAGTACTACATTGAATAGGAGTGGTGAAAGAGGGCATCCTTGTCTAGTGCTGGATTTCAAAGGGAATGCTTCCAGTTTTTGCCCATTCAGTATGATGTTGGCTGTATGTTTGTCTGTATGTTTGGCTGTATGTTTTATTGTTTTGAGATATACTCTTTCGATACCTAGTTTATTGAGAGTTTTTAGCATAGTTCAATTTTATTGAAGGCTTTCTCTGCATCTATTGAGATAATCATGGGGTTTTTGTCTTTGGTTCTGTTTATGTGGTGGATTACATTTACCTGGGTATGTTGAAACCAGCTTTGCATCCCTGGAATGAAGCCTACTTGGATTGTGATGGATAAGCTTTTCAATGTGCTGTTGCAATCAGATCTATGCTATTTTATAGATATTTATAGAGAACATTCCACAGCATTTTGAAAAAAATAAATGAATCCTGATCTATCCTGAGACACTACCTCAGGCTCAGAGGGTCTGTGCAAGGCCTGAAGTAAAAAATGCTTTCATGTATTTTTTGGCAGAGCTAAGCAGCTCTTCCCAGGAATTAGGTAGGACACCAGCTCTGAGAACTTCTTCCAAACAAATCCAGGCCTTCTTGCTTTAAGTAAGATCATGGGTAGGCAGGAAAAACAGATCACTTGCGTCTCCTACCTTTCTACAGTTTGCAAATTCAGTATTTCATACATAATGCTTTTCTTGCTGGGGGAAAAAAAACCCTAACAATATAAAAAGCCTACATACAGGCATCATCCCAAATAACTTGCAGCTGGGGATTGTGGTCCGTTGCTGGCCAAGACTATGGGCCTGGCCCGGCTCTGAGCCTCCCGCTCTCCAAGCACCCCCTGCCTTGAGCCATTTCCCAGTGTGCAGTAGTGCAGAGATCAGGTTCTTTGTCTCTAGCCCTCAGGCCTCAGTAGAGGCTTTAGATTCTGAACCCCCTTGCCCAGCACCCATTTCCTTTGATATATTCTCCTGTGCTCGGAATGGAGCAGGGGCCAGAACCCAACCTGAAAATCAGTATCTTGCCAAGGGAACCCTTCCCCAGAGGCCCCGGCCAGCGTAGGCCCTATCCTGGGCAAACCCCATCGAAAAAGTGTAGGCTTTACCTGTAGGGAAACACCCGGTAAGCACTGCCATTAATGCCCATGGTTTCAGTGATGTTACTGGCTATAAGTCGTGCTTTCTTCAGAGCGTCAATAAAGTCAGCAGAGGTCTGCAGCACTGTGTGGTAGGTCATGAAGTATGTGGCTCCGACCCCGGTGCCGTTGCTGAGGATGTTAACTGCAGAACTATAGGCAGCATGTCCCCTAAGGAAAGAATTATGGTTGTCAGAGAGTCCAGGCCTTGCAAAATTATCAGCAGAATCTGAGCACTCAAGGCTAAGCAAAACCACTTGATGCTTGGCTCAGAGGTCAGACCCAGCTGTACATTTCAGGGATGAAGAAGGGCCCCAGGATAAAGGAACACTAAAGGTTTAGCTTGTTCTCTCCCAGACTGACTTTTTGTGTTTTATTTTGAGACAGATAAAAAGCCCCTCATTTTATCTGTTGCCCAGGCTGGAATACAATGGCATGATCTTGATTTACTGCAACCTCCACCTCCCGGGTTCAAGCAATTCTCCCTGCCTCAGCCTCCCGAGTATTACAGATGCCTGCCACCACGCCTAACTAACTTTTTTGCCATGTTGGCCAGGCTGGTTGTCTTCAACTCCTGACCTCAGGTGATCCACATGCCTTGGCCTCCCAAAGTGCTGGGATTACAGGTGTGAGCCACTATGTCCAGCCAGAATGGCTTTTCTTGATTGTTCCAGGTTCTCTGGTACATAGCTGTTGTTTCTCTACCTGGTTTCATGTGTAATCAAATGTAGAGAGTTTACTCAGTCCTGTTATGTAACAGGAGGCAGGAAAGGCAAGGGCCCAGGGAATAATCTCAGCCCTGCCACTTACTGGTCATGTAACCCTTGGCAAAATGACCTCCTCTGAGTCCTGGTCTCCTCCTCTTCTATAAGTGGGTATCCCACTACCTACTCATAGGCTGTGTGATGATAAATGGAATAATGTCACGGAGTGCCTGGCATGACGCTGGCACCCTGGAGGCTCCCCAGAACAGTGGCTACGGCCTTTAGAAAAACTGAATCTACCTCAACTTACTTTATGTAAGTTGCATCTGGTCAGTGAGTAAATCAAGCTGCAAGATTCATTTCTACTTTACTTTTAGGGGTAGTCATCCCATGATACCTAGGTCTCAAAGCACATACATGATATAAATGATTCACTGATATGACTGTTCAGACGTGTGTTCTTATGAAAAACATTACCTAACATACATGGGGATACTCAATCTCTGCCTCCAAACGCTTCCAAATTAACCCCAGAGACTTCTGGTCATGGTCACTATTTTTGGGCCATATATCTGGCTTCCGTGGGTAACTGGCTGCCTGGCTGGATGGGGGAGTGAGATAACCCATAACCCCATATATGGATGGGCTACAAGGAGCATGATGGGGCTAAAAGAATCGAAACCTTAACGTGGGATAACATTACCAAAACAAAGATGCCGCCCCAGCTGCCATCAGCACCACTGAACAAACCGAGTTCCTTCAGGCCTGGATTACAAGCAGGCCATCCTGTCCCTCAGCCCTGCTTGGAATGTGCACAGAAATCTGCATTCATTCTCATGCCCAGGGGGCCAGGGCACAGAGAGAGCACGAGAAGTGAATGGCCATGTTAAAACAGAATCAGCTGAGCACTATGAGGCATTTTCTTAAAAAGGTGTTTTCAGTTTCCCTACTTCCACCAAAGAACCAGGACAGGGTGGGGCAGAGAAGACGACGTTCCCATGCAACTGTTTTAGCCTGGTCCTCTCCTAGTTTTCTATTGCAAATTAAAGTTGAAACGGATGCTTGTCTGCAATGACAGCAGCACTTACCCTTTGCCACACTTGGGGTTAGGATTATCCGAAAGGAACATGGGCAGGAATCTCAGGAAGTCTCTACCCTGAGGCCTCTGTTTTCCCTCTGCAGTCAGAGGCCTGCAGCGGATGCAGGCAGGGTCGACCACTAGCAGAGACACGCAGGGAGAAGCCGACTGTTAGAAGAATGGGTCTCCAGATTTTTGGTAAAACATTTAAAAATACTGACAGTGAGGGAAAATCTTTCCCCTTATCTAAAAGCTTCAGCCACATGTGACTTTCACAGTTTAATGAATCTGAAATACCATTTTCATCTTAGGCATAGTATGCAACATTTTCTGCCTTGAAGTAGATGTCCTCCTTCAAGGACAGCCTTGACTGGTAATATCAGAGCCTAGGGCTTCCATGTTTTTATTAATTCCAGGGGAACCTGAATGCTCCTACAAAACCATAGGGCAAAGTGATTAAAAAAAAAGCTCTCCTCTGAGAAGCTAAGGCCGGATACCAATCCTGAGAAGCAATCACTGGAGCCAGGACAGAATGAGAAACCTTATCTGGAAACCACACACCCAAGAAGTGGACCTTGTTCAGCCTGCAGCCTCAAGAGTGGCTGAGACAGGACCAACATGACAATTTCACAATGAATGACTGAGGAAAGGAATAATGACACAGGGAGGGAGACCCAGCTTTGATGTACAAATAGGTATAAACTGAGGCACAATGCAAATGATTTATAAATGACAATTTGAAAACTTTTCAGAAAAAAGGGGAAAGATTTGGTAAAGGAGATGAAGGTACCTGAAGCATTGCAGAACTGGTCAGTGATATTGTCCACTCGACAGCAAGATGACTGCGGCTTCACCCAGTCGAAATAATCGTCAATCCAGGACGAGGGGGCGAAGCCTATTCGGGTACTAGAGAGGAGAGACAGGGTTACTGACCTGCTCCACAGGGAGGAAGTCTTTAGTTTCAGTACTTTTTCTTAAAACCTGACTTCCTATTCTACATTTTATACTGCTAACGGTCAAAAGAAAAACTACATGAGCACTTAATGAAAAAAACTTTCAAAGATTAGGTGGTAAATTAGTCCTTTCAAAGGTTTTGTTAAGGTAAAGCCAGATTTACCACACATTTTGCATAAACACAAGTTTTCCAAGAAAGTCTATTTGCAATGAAATATTTTAGGCCTGGGCTGACTGCCTGGCTGAGAGTCCCCTCCACTGCTTCTGAAGTACAAGAAGAGGCGGTACTGACTAGTTGTCCAGCTGTGCCGCGTTAAATATCTGCTGCACCAGAGAATCATTGTTGCAGCCCATGCCACCGCACACCATGTTCTGCCCCTTTGGAGAAGTGTAGTCGTGCCCTTCCTCCAGGACAAAGTACACAGGCGGACCCGCATGCAGGTACTGACTGATGGATTTGAAATAATCCACCACGTAGGAGTCCTGAAAGAAAAAGAATAGGACAGAGTATGAACACTGTGATAGTAACTAAGCAAGGTGAGGATCACTGAGAATACGAGGACACCAGAAGGTTCCTGGCTGAGATGCCTCCAGTCAGACTCACGATTCCTGACACCGCCAGTCTTCCCTGCAGCGCCCCAGGGTGCTCCTTCTGCTAGCCCCACAATCAGGAAAGCACCTTATCAGGTAACCTCATAAGACTGGTTGCTCGTGTTCTGCAGCTGTGCCCAGAGGGGCTCAGTTCAGAATGCCAAGCAGCCCACACTGGCAGTGCATTGGGGCAGTTCTCACCCTGGAAATCCCGTCACCATTCACAGTTGGGAGCAGGCACTTGCTTGAAACACCCACATGCATGTTTTGAAAATGTATTCATCATCAAATAAAGAAGTTAAAATCAAAAGGAAGGCATCTTACATCTGGCATTGAAAGAGACTGATCCAATCCAATATCTACTTTGTTCAGGACTGCAATGCTGAATGACAGAACACCCACAAATACTGCTATCTGGAACAAGAAATGAATCATAAGACAGAGACTGCTTAGTGTAATAAGCTTACGACCAGACATAAAATCTTAAGCACACACAAAAAGCAGAATTTTTTGAAATGGAAAAGTTTAAATGACAGGCTAAGATAACAGGGAGTGGAGGGCAGTGGGTGAGACCACAGCATGTAGAGTCCAAGCTCCTGGGTGCAAATTCTGACTCTGCCACTTATGTGGCTAGTGACTTGGGGCAAACCACTTAAACTCTCTTAGCTTCTATTTCCTCATAGGTAACAGAGGAAAAATAAAAGGTTATTTGCAATTTTCTGTGAATCTGAAACTATTTCAAAATAAAAACTTAGAGAAAACTCTTGCTTATTATATGTACTGACAAAAGCTCACAGGAAAAATATTTTATCTAGTGGTATATATTTGCTTTTGCGTTTTTTTTTTAGATATGTTTAACAGCTGTAAGAATCTCCTTCCCGGGCTGTCTGACTTCTTAGAAGGCATGTGATAATCTGTTTTTGTGAGAGGAAAGAGAAAAACCACAGATAAGGGCATACCACAATCGGTCTCATCCAGTCCTTTAGCAGAAGTGGAGCATAGGAGTTTTTGAAGAAGCGAAACAAACAGCTCTCTGAGGCCTGGACACTTGTTCCATCTTCAGCACCTTTGAGGCAGCAAAAGATGTCTAGCCGATTTTTCTGAGGAGACACAGGGGAACAAAGGTTATACCCTCTGGCTGCTTCCTCTAGATTCTAAGCTCAAATTAAATAGTCTATAATCCTGGCACCAATTTACCTCTTGACGTTTAATGTCTAATCCCAAGAGACTCACGAAACAGGTAATCTGCAGAAGAAAGTCAATGAGGACGGCCAATCCCGCAAACAGAGAGAATGTGTGTACGGCTGGCATCATGGACAGTGCTCCTGTGAGGGAGAGAGGGGCTCTGTGTCACTTCTGTTTATAGCAGGGGGCTCTCCGCAAGTCTTACGTTCATGTGCACGTACAGATACAAGGAGCCAGCAAAGGCCAAATCCATGAGAAGGCATGCTGCTGCTGGGCATTATTCCAGAACTGGGACAGGAGGCGATAAGCCGGTGCTTTTCAAAACGCACTCAGCAGCAGACCATCTGGGGAGCCCCATCCTACTTAAGCAAGTATGACAGGAATTCAACCCCAATTCTACTATACTCAGGTTCACAGGAAAATTCATGCACATTAAAATTTGAGAACCACTAATACAGGCCATTTCTTATAGTACCTTCTATGCTTCACTGTAAGAAAGACAGTATTTTCCATCTAAGACATCAGCAATACTAGCCTCCCAGTTTAGTTACGGTAAGAGGCAACTCACAATCGAGTGAGGAGCAAAGGCATGAGGGTAAAACTTGGAAACTGCAAACTGCAGCCCATGAATCAGATGGTTCTTGTTTAGCCCACTGTATCAACCCATCTTAGGATTAAAAAAATTTTTTTTTTTTTAAGTTGCCAATATCAGCAATGACATTTTACACAAAGATCTAAATTTACATAGCTTTGCTTGGGGGAAAAAAAACAACAACCACCAACACAACAGACCTTGTAGCACTGGGTTGGCCACACTTAATGGCCTTTTTAGATGGACACGTGCACTTCAGGTGCCACAATCCCTACCCACCTCTATTGTCCCACCAAGGTCACTCCAACCTTGAGGCACCATCTCTGCTGCTATTATCATCACACCTGCACTGGTTTTCTTATAATAGAAGTGAAAAAAAGAAAGTTTTTTTTTTTGGCACCTGTGTTTGTCAAAAGGAACTACAGGGCTACAGGTTTCAAAAGCACATGGTTTTGTGGAAATGAAGAATGACAAGCTAGCAGTGTATCTGTGTTGAAAAACTACCACCAATGATGACCTTACAATGGCCCCGATTAAGCTGACCTGGGAGCCAAGTAGGCACTGTAGTTTGTGACCCATGGATGGTTTTCTCTGGACTGAGTGATTCTAGTCCAGCCTCCTCTACAGTGGACAGAGTCACTTTGCTCTTGCTACACTTCAGAGATGGGGCAGGCAGTCCCACTAGTGAGTCTATTTGGTGATTTCTGTATGTGAAAGAAACACAGAAGTGCTGACCTTGTTCCAGCTTATTCTAGCTCCTCGTAATGAGGTGAGTCAAGAACCCCTGCTCATTAACGAGGCTGCTTCCCCACTGAGTTGCGTGCACAGAAGAGAAAGACTGCCTTTGAAAATAATGGCAAACATCTTGCAAGCGAGTGCCTGTGGATTTGGGAGCTGCTGCTTAGAGTGTCATGTTGAGAAGAATTCAGTGGCTACTCAACGATGTCATTTTTAATTATTAACATTCCCAGTGACTACCAAAAGGGGAAAGTGGCAAGACAAACTCTAGGTCACTCTCACCCTGAACCCCAACATCAACACCGTCCTGACAATTAAATGAGAAGGAAGCCACTTGCAAAATGATGCCCAAGATACTGCTGCCATTTTTTCTGTGGTCCATTCAGTGATACTTTCCCAGTGCAGAACAAAGCTTAAAAAGGGAGACAACACAGGCTGGGTCTGGTGGCTCACAGTAATCACAGTACTTTAGGAGGTTGAGGCAGGTGGATCACTTGAGGTCAGGAGTTTGAGACCAGCCTGGACAAAATGGTGAAACCCCATCTCTACTAAAAACACAAAAAATTAGCTAGGCATAGTGGTGTGTGCCTTTAATCCCAGCTGCTCGGGAGGCAAAGGCAGGAGAATCACTTGAGGTGGAGGTTGCAGTAAGCCGAGATCGCATCACTGCACTCCAGCCTGGGTGACAGAGTGAGACTCCATCTCAGGGGAAATAAAAAAAAAAAAAAAAAAAAAAGAAGCAAAACAAAGGGGCATGTTCAGATACCCAGCTCCTTCTTTCTCCAGGCTCAGGGAACTACAGGGCTGGTAGGATTGAAAGCATAATTACCTAAGAAAAATGCTACAGTCTCAGAAAAGGATGACAGGAACATACTGGGGGCCACTTCTCCTAGGACCCTGCCCAGCTGCTGATCCAGGGTTTCCCCTTGAAGACGTTCATCTCTCTTAAAAAAAAAAAAAGAAAAAAGAAAGAAAATTATGCAACATTAAAATTTCTCAATAACAATGCCACTTCTTGCTGCCTTAACTCAAGGGTAAAGAAAAATGATTAATAGACGATTAGCAGTGTCTTCTAAGCATATAAACTTTGGTGGGGGACTCCAATGTTCTCATGTGAATTCACTCAGAGTATTTCTGCACCACAGAGCTAGGTACCCAGTGAGAAACTAAGGTGATGGACCACTGAACATCACTCTCACATGCACTGACTCTCCACTCAGGTACGGTCTACAGGATGACTGAGGCCACCTTCTACAGCTGCAGGACATGTGTTAACCTTTTGCCTTTTTAGTGGCACCTTTGTGCAAAACAAATCTAACATTCTTTACTATGCTGAAAATCATTTTAATAGCAGTCGTACACAAAATATTTTCCAAAAGTATGTTAGCCCTTCTTGTACACATGATACTATTTAAAATGAAAAGATACTACTAAAGGACACTATTTAAAGATACAATTTAAAACAAAATTCTTACTTTATATCTACTATTTCATCAACCAAAAAGAGGGGTGAAATTCTCGGTACTAAGATGGCCAGAGTAAGTCAAGAAGACCAGTGAGCCACACAGGGAAAGGAAGGAAAATGCCCTCACAGTCCATACTCATAAATGTGGAGCCCAAAAGCCATTCACAGACCCTGAAACTTGGAGAGCTAAGCCCCGTGAGAAGATGGAAGTATACCTGGTAGGCCTGCACCAAAATGAAGATGTTGTCCACTCCAACAGCCAGTACCAGGAACGGGATGACTTCAATCACAATGAGGGTCAAGGGGAACCCAATGTAGCTGAAGACGCCCAAGGAGCAAGCCACCGAGCTCAGCACGATCAGGATGCCTGCAATGCCTAGTGAGACCTTCGAATCCACCTGAGAGGGGTGACAAAGACACACCCAGTTAGTTACATGGCTGGCTGTTCCATTTATTACTAAAAGGTCCTCCTTTTTACTTTACAGGGCTGTATCAAACCCAGAGGTAAAAGTACAATTCTGTGTTTCAGAGAGGATTTGTAAACATTTCTAGGTCTTCCCAGGCAACACGTGTGATGAGTTTGCATTCTTAGGTGATAGACTGGACAAATAATACTGGATTATGTGAAATAAACTTTAAGATAAACCAGTAAGTTGGAACTGAAGAAAACAGATGTAGGAAACAGAAATGTTACAGTTAAAACATGGAGGAATTCAAGGCAGTTTTGAACATAATAGATTAAGAATGAAGAGGCAAAAATATGACATTACACTGTGCACTGCTGTTAACTTCTGAAACACACCACCACCCCCCAGCTTACCAGAAGCCTTTGACAGCTTTCGATGTGCCCCAAGGCTAGGGAAATATATAGAAACATGATGGCATAGCTAATTACAACAGTGAAGATATCACTGTTACTTTCACGATTTAGTTCATCTTCAATACTTCGTTCAGCAGTGAAGGAAATGGTCAGATTGGAATTCTTGTAGTTTTTCACAAAATTAATAAACCTAAAAGGTAAGCAGAATGTTATATTTTCAGTTAAAACTTAGTGACAACTAAGTAAAAAAGTTCTTCCCAACTTCCATGACACAAAGGCCACGTTTTCTGTTTTTCTTTTTTTGAGATGGAGTCTCGCCCTGTCGCCCAGGCTGGATGGTGCAATCTTGGCTCATGGTAACTGCCACCTTCTGGGTTTGAGAGATTCTCCTACCTCAGCCTCCCGAGTAGCTGTGACCATAGGCACGTGCCACCACACCTGGCTAATTTTTGTATTTTTAGTAGAGACAAGGTTTCACCATGTTGGCCAGGCTGGTCTTAAACGCCTGACCTCAAGTGATCTGCCCACCTCAGCTTCCCAAAGTGATTACAGGTGTGAGCCACTAAGCCACTGCACCTGGTCCTGGCTCATTAAAAGAAATTTTTTTTTGTAGCGATGGGGTCTTTGCCATGTTGTGCAGGCTGGTCTCAAACTCCTGGCCTCAAGGCACTCTTCCTGTCTCCGCCTCCCTAATTGTCTGGATTACAGGCACCATGCCCAGCCACTGCATTAGGATCTTCTACATTGGAGTAGAAGGTAAGACACTCTCAGATTACAGCTAAGGTTCCATACACGCTGAATTTTCTACCACTTAAAGCAAGTTTAGGGCTGGGAGTGGTGGTTCACACCTGTAATTCTAGCACTTTGGGAGGCCGAGGTGGGCAGATCTGAGGTCAGGAGTTCGAGACCAGCCTGGCTGATATGGTAAAACCCCAACTCTACTAAAAATAAAAAAAATTAGCTAGGCATGGTCACAGGTGCCTGTAATCCCAGCTATGTGGGAGGCTGAGCCATGAGAATCACTTGAACCTAGGAGGCAGAGGTTGCAGTGAGCTGAGATCGTGCCACTGCATTCCAGCCTGAGTGACAGAGCAAGACTCTATCTCAAAAAAAAAAAAAAAAAAAAAAAAAGGAAAAGAAAGAGAAATGCATTCAGTTTATTAAATCAAAACCACATAGGATAACACTTCATACCCACGGAGATAGCTAGAATCACAAAGTCAGATAATAAAAAGTGTTGGCAAGGATACGAAGAAATTGGAAGTTTCATGCACTGCGGGTGGTGATGTGAAGCGCTATAGCCACTTTGGAAAATGGTCTGGCAGTTCTTCAAACTATTCAAGGTGGACTTACCCTATGACTCAGCAATTATACTCCTAGGTATGTACCCAAAAGAAATGAAAACTCACATCCACACAAGAGCTTGTACTCAAGTGTTCACAGCAGCATTATTCATCATAGCCAAAATGGAAACAGCCCAAATGTGCATCAACTGATAGACACACACAATGTGATATATCCATACAACAGAATGAAAAAATGTGGTACATGCCACAACATGTTTGAACCTTGAGAACATGATGTTCAATGAAAGCCAGACAAAAAAGTCCACATATTATTCTATGCACATAAAAGTCCAGAATAGGAAAATCTCCAGACACAGAAACGGTATTAGTGGTTGCTTAGGGCTATGGATAGGAGGATATAAAGATGGAGGGTGTTAGTTAAAGAGTACTATTGTGGAGTAATGAAAATATTCCTAAAATTGACTGTGGTGATGGCTGCACATATATGCAAATATACTAAAGCTACTGAATTGCACATTTTTTTTTTCAAGTTTTCTTTTCTCTTCTTTTTTTTAGAGACATGCTTTGCTACATCGCCTAGGCTGGTCTTGAACTCCCAGCCTCAAGTGATCCTCCCATCTGGGCCTCCCAAAGTGCTGAGATCACAAGTGTGAGCCACCATGCCCAGGCTGAACGCACTTTAAGTGGGTGAATTGTATGATACGTGTGTCACACATCAGTAAAGCCATTTTTAAAAAGTACTGAAGGGTATAAAGCACAATCTGTCCTCCTAAGTCCTCTCTTCCCATTCTGTAGAAGTCACAAACACAGTTAATTTCTCAGGTCATTTGCTTTTTTTTCTAAGCATGCACAGCATAAACAATACATATTTATATAAATATACATCTTGAACCATTTATTTACATCACTGTCTTTTATGACTGCATAATATTCTACTGTATTCATTACTAAGTACATTTAGCATGCTCCTTCGTTTTGCTGTTAGAAAACAATGCAGGCAGCTGGGTGTAGTGGCTCACGCCTATAATCCTAGCACTTTGGGAAGCCGAGGCAGGTGGATCACCTGAGGTCAGGAGGTTGAGACTAGCCTGGGCAACATGGCAAAACCGTTTCTACAAAAAGAAAACAAAAATTAGTTGGTTGTGATGGCATGCACCTGCAGTCTCAGCTACTTGGGAGGCTGAGAGGTGGGAGGATCACTTGAGCCTAGGAGGTTGAGGCTGCAGTGAGCTGAGACTGAGCCACTGCACCCCAGCCGAGGCAACGGTGAACCCCTTTTTTGGCACACTTTTGCATTCCTGTGCAGGGAGAGCTGTTTAAAGCATCTGCTCAAAGGTAAATGTGCTTACAGTTTCTTCTTAGCATCATTAGTACCAAATGAACAAAATTACATAACTCAGATCTGCCACTGGTTAATTTAGAAAATGAAGCTTAAGTGCTTGCTGTAAGCATCTGGGTTCCCACAATGCAAGGACAGTCTGCTCACACCCATGCGTGACTCACTCTTTTTCCCAGGCCTGGGCCCTCTGGAGCTTCTCTGTATCATTATAGTAATTACGCACAGGGAAGGTAATCACAAGGGCAGTGGCGTTATTGTAGTTTTGATCTAGGAAAAAAAATGTGACATCAAAAAGGAGATTACAAGCATGCAGAAAATTCGGCACATCCCAGAGGAAAAATCACAACACACGTAGCTAACTGATTTCTCACTGGAGCTATGGACTGTATCTCTGTATTTAAGAATTAAACAAGAGTTTGCTGAAATAGTTTTTATGTAGTTCAGTTAATGAATAAAAAGGATTCTTTATCTGAAGTAGGCATGGTTTCCATTCAGGAAGAGTAACTTTTTTTTTTTTTTTTAAGGATACAATACAGGCATGTTAACAATTTCAAACAGAACAGAAAGGTGTTGACTGAAAATTCTCTCTTCTTCTCCTCCAACCTCTATGTCATTGTCTTGGTTCTCCTCCCTCTACTGTGACCACCTGCAAGTCTTTCCAGAGCCATTCCACACACACACAATCAAACACACATTCTTCCCCTTTCCCCCTTAACCACACAAACAGTAAAATACTATTCTGCACATTACATTTTAAAATTTTGTATCTTGGAGACTGCTCCATAAAGAGTTTCCTTATTCTTTTCCTACGAATATTTTCTAGTATACTTTGGCCAATCCCTCCCATTGATGAGCAGTTTTGCATTTTTTTCTATTACAAACAAAGTTATTATAAATAGCCTATAAATATTTTAATGTGTAAAGCACATACTTGTAGAATCAATTCTTTTTTCTTTTTTGGGGGTGAGAGGGAGATGGGGGACAGTGTCTTGTTCTGTTGCCCAGGCTGAAGTGCAGTGGTGTGATCACAGCTCATTGCAGCCTTGACCTCCTGCCTCAGCCTCCCAGTAGCTGGGACTACAGGCATGCACTACCGTTGCTGGCTAATTTTTGTATTTTATGCAGAGATGGGATTTTGTCATGTTGCCCAGGCTGGACTTGAACTACTGGGCTCAAGCGATCCTCCTGCCTTGACCTCCCAAAGCTTGCTGAGATTACAGGCATGAGCCATTGCACCTGGCTAGAATCAATTCTTAAAGCGTAATCACTAATCAAAATCTCCCAAACTTCCTTCCAAAGAAGCTGAACTATTTTTCATTCCCTTTCCCCCCTCCCCCCTTTTTTTAGAGACAGGATCTCACTCTGTTGCCCTGGCTGGAATGCAGTGGCACAATCATGGTTCACTGAAGCCTTGACTTCCCAGGCTCAAGCAACCCTCCTGCCTCAGCCTCCCAAGTAGCTGGAACCACAGGTGTGTGCCACAATGTCCGGCTAAACTTTTCATTACTTCAGTCAAAATATTTATGGCTGGGTGTGGTGGCTCACGCCTGTAATCCCAGCACCTTGGGAGGTGGAGGTGGGTGGATCATCTGAGGTCAAGAGTTAAAGACAAGCCTGGACAACATGGCGAAACCCTGTCTCTACTAAAAATACAAAAATTAGCTGGGCCTGGTGGTGCATGCCTGTAATCTCAGCTACTTAAGAGGTGGTGGCAGGAGAATTGCTCCAACCCAGTGGCAGAGGCTGTAGTGAGCCAAGATGGCACCACTGCACTCCAGCTAAAACAAAAAAAAAAAAAAAAGAAAATATTTACTGGCTCACCTGTGATCCCAGCACCTTGGGAGGCCTTCGGTCAGTTCAAGACCAGTCTGAGCAAAAGCAAAACTCCATCTCTACTAAAAATACAAAAATTAGCTGGGCCTGGTGGTACATGCCTGTAATCTCAGCTACTTAAGAGGTGGAGGCAGGAGAATTGCTTGAACCTGGGAGGCAGAGGTTGTAGTAAGCCGAGATCACACCACTGCACTCCAGCCTGGGCAACAGAGCAAGACTCTGTTTCTGAAAAATAAAATCAATTTGTATTTGTATTTTTTCTTTTGTTAACTTTCATATGGCCTCACCCACTTTTCTTTTGGGTCACTGATCTTTTTTTCAAGAGTTTTTTTGTTTGTTTGTTTGAAACAGAGTCCCACTCTTGTTGCCTAGGCTGGAGTACAACGGCATGATGTCAGTTCACTGCAAAGTCTGTCTCCCATTTCAAGCAATTCTCCTGCCTCAGCCTTCCAAGTAGCTGGGACATCATGCCTGGCTAACTTTTTTGAATTTTTAGTAGAGATAGGTTTCACCATTTTTGCCAGGCTGGGACAAGCTCTTCATTTATTAAGGAAATGCTGACTGGTATGCAAACTAATATCTTTGTCCAGTTTTTTTTTTTTTTTTGAGGCAAGGTCTCACTCTGTCACCCAGGCTGGAAGGCAGTGGTACAATATCAGCTCACTGCAGCCTCAACCTCCTGGACTCACGTGATCCTCCAATCTCAGCCTCCCAAATAGCTGGAACTACAAGCATGCACTACCATGCCCAGCTAATTTTTGTATTTTACAGAGACAGGGTTTTGCCACGTTGCTCAGGCTGTTCTCAAAACTTCTAGCTCAAACAATCTGCCTGCCTATGCCTCCCAAAGTGCTGGGATTACAGGCATGAGTCACTCCCAGACAGTTTTAATTTTTTTAACTGTATGTTTGTTCTCCACAGATGAATTTAAAATTTTCATATGCTCAAATTCATCAGTCTTTCCTTTTGGGGTTTCTGAGTTTTGTGTCTTGATTAGAAATGTCTTTTCCATTTAAAAATTATTTTTTAAAAGGCCTCCTGTATTTTCTTCCAGTTCTTTAACACTTTCACTTCTTACATTTCAATCTTTTATCCATCTGGAATTTATTTTGGTGAAATGAACGAGGTAGAGATCAAAGTCAATTGTTTCCCCTATGGATAGCCAGTTGCTGACACCATCCCTTTTCCACCAATTAGAAATGGTGTTTTCCTCTAGGACGCAGAGTAAATTTTAAATACAGATTGCAACTTCTCCCCTACCGTTGAGTGAGGAGAAGAAAGCCTATTTGGGTTCTTCATTGGCTGGGAAAAACCTGTTGAGCCTGTAATTTGGCTTAAGATGCCAAAGGTGTCACATGAATCATCACCTCATTTTTTTTTTTTTTTTTTTCCATCGACAGTCTAGCTATTGATGCCAATCACCTCATTTTATCAAGTACAATTGGTTCTAAAGTGCTACAGGAACCAGAAAAGAGCAAACCAGCTGTCTTCACACTGTAAGAGTGTCCATCCAAATAACCAACTGAGACTGGCTTAGAAGAAAAAAAAATCCATCAACTTTGTTTCTTTTTCTACATACCTCACATTTTAACTTTTCTCCTTCACAGAGGTTCTTACCTGAGGTCCATGAGCTCCCTCAGGGGTCTATATATGAGCTTCAAGGGCCCATGACCTCCTTGAAGCTGAAGTTCGCAATTGCATTATTCTGGGGAAAGGTACTTACCCTTCAACAGCTTCTCAAAGGCATGTGTGATCTACAAATGGCTAACATAATCCACTTCTTTTAAATCCAAAATGAAACCCAAACCCAAAGCCAAATGAGATACTATATTTGGGAATCAAGAGGTAGGAAATTAACTAACAAAACTGCCCAATTTTATGAAATCTGCATAATTACAGCTAATGACAAAACCATTTGTTTTTTGCCCAATAGGAAAAGTCAAGGTTTCTCTTACTTACCATCATAGCCTCCCAACACAAGCCACGGGAACACTGGTCCACCAAATGTACCCAGACAAGGATCATGGAGCAAACTTGTATCATTCAGAGAGGCCGGAGCCCTGCCAAAAAGTTTAGAAAACACCTTCCCATTAGAAGGGCCTCAAGACTTCACAGAGACCTAAACATTTACACCACGAACATTTGATGAGGCCGGCTGTATTCTAAGCACAACATGGGCCCTGAGGTTTCTCACTTGAATAATACAGCTCAGTACTCGCCTTTGGTAGCTCAGAATCACTGAGAGAGGCAAATACTGCCCAGTGCCATCAATGGTACACGGTGCATGGTGCTATGCAGGCACAGAGGAGGGGGCAAACAGTAAAAGGTGTAACTGTAGCCAAGAGGAAGAGACCATACAGACCCAGAGCTCCGAGGACGAGGGGGATTTCACCAAAGAGAGAGGACAAGAGGGTGTCTCACACAATTACAACTGTGGGAGGAAAAAAGAAGGGAGAGAGAACAGTGAGAGGGAATGAGAGCAAGATGGTTTGGCAAGTCCTGTATGCCAGGTATGGAGGCATGCCTAATCCTAGCTACTCAGGAGGCTGAGGCAGAAGGACGGCTGTAACCCAGGAGTTTGAGTCAGCCTGGGCAACGTAGCAAGGACCCCTCTCTTAAAAAAATAATTTAAATAAAAGAAGTCCTGTCCTAGAGCACGGGGTGCCACTGAGGGGGCTCCTAAAGAAGGGGGCCGGTCTGGGAAGAGCAATGGACAGACAGTGTGAAATAAAAGGACTCAGTGCCAGTTAAGTAGTTTGGATTTTTTATACTGGAGGCACTGGGGAACAATGAGAGCTTTCTGGGAAAGTTATGTCGTGAGCTGTTTTACAAAGATAGCTCTTGTGGCAAAATGGAAGAAGGTCTGGAAATGGCAAAGAAACAGGAAGCAGGCGGAACAGTAAGTAGAGAGGTTTGTGCAACGGACCAGGCAAGAGGCGACTGGTAGGGCAGATAGACAGTCGGCCCGTGGAGAGGGAACCAGCAGATTCAGAACATCAGCTAGAACTCGGCTGGGTGCTGAGAAGCTTCTGCATATGACCCCCTCATCAGAGCGGATGGTTGACCATGTGAGGGAGGTCAGGTGACCTGCGGTGAGCAGCCAAGTCCCTTCATCCATAGCAGAGATCTGATGGACCGTCCAGAGGCTCAGACCTGCAAGAACCCCATGAGGAAGGCAAGGGCAAGGCAAAATTCAGGGATAAAGCCTTAAATCTGAGTAACTGGTAGCTGTTACTGCCTTCAAATGACATGGGGACAGAAGCAGGTCAGGGCATGGTTCCGGGCAGACCACCTGCCATTACTGCAGGACCCTCAGGTGAAAATGTCCAGGAAAAGCTGGAGGAACAGGAAAGGAGACAGCGCTAGAGGCAGGCCTGGGGTTATGAGGACGCGCACAAGCATAGCCACAAATCAGCTCAGGTTCCTGCTGCCAGGAGCCTGCCAGTCCTTGACAGCCTCCACGCTGGTGGGAACCACGCCGGCAATGAGGAAACACAAGGCTCACGCACCTCTACCCCTCATTTTTGTTGACTTTTATCTCATACAACAGAATAAATGCCTTCTTCATCCAACTATAAAAATTATGTAACATTAAATGTTTTCTTTTTCTTTAAATTACCCATGGCTCACTTGCACCGTCTACCCTGTGGAGAATGCTGGTTAGGGTATGCAGCATAAGCTAATTGATTTTTAATGAGTATAACTCATGTTTTTAGTGGTGATATTCTTGAAACAGAGTAAATATAGCCCAACTCCTTAAAAAGTCTTATTCCAATAACAAACTAACAGAACTCAAGGTCAAAGTTCTTTAGAACCAGAAGTGAGCATCACCAGCTCCTGAGAAGTAGTTAGCTGATCAGTTCCCTCAAAGGTGACAAGGAATAACTTCTCTGTTCCCATGCTGAAGAAACAGCCCCTGTGGTTGCTCAACTGGCTGAACAGCTGTCTAGAGCATTCAGGGAGAGCAGGCCCATCCGGCATCATGTTGCTCTTCCCCTTCCGGGAGAAGCCTAAAGATTCCCCTACAGGTCACAAGCACAGCTTCCTGGGGTGACTGTTCCCAATTATAAACACACCCTGCCCAGCTAACAAGCCTCCTAAGGGAAGCAGATGCAGGGCCCTCTGATCTAAAACTGTGGGCTTGCCCTGCCCTCACAGGGAAGCTGCCCCCCAAATAGCTGGGACACTACAGGGGACTAGGCTATATATTTGAGAGACAAGAAAAGGCACTAAATGCTTCTATCTTTAAATCTTGTTGGGGGTGGGATACATGAAGTTGTGTCAGTGACCCAGGCAGGAGGTAAAGGGTAAGAGGCAGCTGCACTCCCCAGTCACACCCCACGAGAGCCCCTTGCTGGGGCTTTGCACTCGCTGCTCGTTCTGCCGGGAACACTTATGCCTGTGATGGGGCAGCTGTCCTCCTTTCCTCTCCTTTTGTGCACATCTCCACACTTAAGCAGTGCACCCCCTGCCCCACACTGTCTGGCCTTATTTTTCTCCTCACAGCACTAATCTCTAACTGGCATGATAGCATGTGCTTATGTGTTCATCATCCATCTCTTTATATTAAGATGTAAGCTTCTGGCCAGGCGCAGCAGCTCACACCTGTAATCCCAGCACTTTGGGAGGCCAAGGTGGGCGGATCACTTGAGGTTAGGAGTTCAAGTCCCAGCCTGGCCAACATGGTGAAACCCCATCTCTAATAAAAATACAAAAATTAGCTGGGCGTGGTGGTGCACGCCTGTAGTCCTAGCTACTCAGGAGGCTGAGGTAGGAGAATCACTTGAACCCGGGAGATGGAGATGGAGATTGCAATGAACCAAGATCACGCCACTGCACTCTAGCCTGGGCAATAGAGTGAGACTCTGTAAGAAGAAAGAAGAAGAAAGAAGAAGAAAGAAGAAGAAAGAAAGGAAGAAGAGAGAAAGGAAGAAGAGGAGGAAGAAGAAGAGGAAGAGGAAGAAGAAGAGAAAGAGGAAGAAAAGAAGGAAGGAAGGAAGGGAGAAGAAAAAGGAAGAAGGAGGAGGAGGAGGAAGAGAAGGAGGAGAAAGAGGAGGAGGAGGAGAAGAAAGAAGGAAGAAGATGAAAGAAGGAAGAAGAAGAAAGAAGGAAGAGGAAGGAAGAGAGAAGAAGAAAGTAGGGAGGAGGAAGAAAGGAGGAGGAGGAAGAAGAAAGAAGAAAAGAAGAAGAAAGAAGAAAGGAAGAAAAGAAGAAGGAAAGAAGTATGAAAGAAGGAAGGAAGCACGGAAGGAAGGAAGGGGAGGAAGAAGAGGATGAATAGAGTTGGCTGGACACGATGACTCATGTCAAAAAAAAAAAAAAGATGTAAGCTTCACAGGACAACACCTTGCTTGCTCTGTTTGCTCACCTCTGGGTTATGCTCATAAAATAAGCTTAAGCCCATATACCCTAAGCCAGATACTGCAAATGCTGTCTATCAATGACTGCCTCTTGCCACTTACCGTACACAGTACAGAAAGTGCGTGTGGTAATCGGCGTACACAAAGAAGTCATCCCCTTTCTTGTGGTCCAGCACGGAGTGGCTGTTCTGGAAGTAATTTAACACACTCATAATGGTGCAGTTCGTGTTATACGGTGCGAGAGGAGCCAAGCAGATGTCTTGAAGTGTCACAGTCTCATTGTTATAAGAGGCAGTAATGTTTTCGATGGCTATTTGTAAGTCAAGAACCTGAAAGAAGATTTTAAAAATAAGCAAATCCAGAAACACATCATGTTTCTCTCAGATCTTGACTAACCAGTATTGCCCTGAAGGGTCAGAAGACAAAGAGTATTTGCGGAAAATACTTCCTAAGATGAGGGAGAGAATTAAGGTGCAATACGGTAAGAAAACTGGCCAGGCCACAGGCTCACTCTTACAGCAAACTGGTTAGAGGCGTCCGCAGAGGTGGCAGGGAACACCATGACCAGAACAGATGTCAGCATAGGACACACAGCCACATCCCCTCCACTCTTCTCCAGCAGTGGCCACCAAGCCAGAGGGGAGACTGGAGGGGGACTCCTGGTCTCCCTGACCCTCCAGTCAATAATAATACAAAATCTCCTGCCTTGCTCTGCACTACAGCCATTTACATATGTCCCCTATTTCCTAACAGAGATGAACTTGGAGGTAAAGGACTATGCTGTTCACCTTCAGTAACAAGCTGGAAAAAGCAACAGACAGTCACTGGGTAGAGAAAAGATTCTATTTAAGTCTGGGGACCATTTTAATGCTTTTCAAGATTTCAGACTTTCTTGTAGACATGAGCAATGTTTAAAGGAAAAACCATGTGACTGTGCATTCATTAAAAAAGAAGTGAGTATAGTTTATGCACAGGTACAGTTTTCCAAGGCAAGTGTGACAGGGACAACGGGAAGGTTTACACGCCTTTCTAGGAACAAGGGTGTGGATCTCGCCCCAAATGCACCTCTCACCAAAAACAGGCTGGGTGCCCATGTTCAAGCAGTGGTAAGTCCATTACTGCAGGATGGATCAGGGATGGTGATCTGGCAGCTTCTTCCTCAGCCCCCAGGACAGCAGTAAGGCTTCATGCCTGTAGGTCCTTGCACATTCCTTCAGTTACCAACAGAAAACATTCACAAATTCCTAAGCTGACTTCCTCATAAATACATCCTGCCTCAATAGAGAAATGCTACTGAAGTCTTCTTTCTCTGCTCATATCAATTTCAAGAAAAAGGCAAGATCTACTATCTGAGGTAAATACAAAAGTGACCAACAGTAAACTTTTCATTAAGTTTAACATCATTCACTTTTTTGAAACCTAAATTAAAAGCACTTTTGTCATTATACCCTAAGATTTTCAAGATACACCATGACATTCAGCCCCAAATCCCCATCCAGCAGTCATCAACATGTAAAAGCCAGCAAACCAGAAGGTCCTCTGGAGTGACTTACTTCTTCAAACAACACATTACCTGGTGCAGTATCTGTATGTCAAGTGGAGGTCCAAAGGGCACATCGGCTCCTGAAGGGTACGGCTGATAAATGTGTTTGTCGGTTAGGGGGGCCTGGATGATGAGCTGCTCTGTCCGGAAGAAAGGCCCAAAGTGCTGATCAAAGTACTCTTTTTCCAGGCGAGCCTGGCTGCTGGGGGCTGACCAGAGGTCAATTGGATTGGTTGTGACCCGGACAAACACCAGGCCTGAAGAACACACAGCAGTGAAGACCAGCGAGAAGGAAATGACGCAGCCAGGGTTTCGGACGCAGAAAGACCCCCAGCGTGTGAACAGCCGCCTCAAGCAGCCCTCAAATGCTGCACTGACCGGGTCGCAGCAGGACACCTCTCCTGGAAGAGTGGGGGAGGAAGGGAGGGTGGAGGTTAGGAGCCAAGTTGTTCCTGAAAGTTGGAATAGGGAAAGCATTAGCTGCTATCTTGTGGCAGGAATCAAGCCCACCTTGGGACACACACGAGACCCCTGCCCTCAGCTATCTATCTGCTCAGCAAAGCCACCCTCAATGAGAGGTGGTCCCACCCCACAGAGGAGATGCCAACACATGAGCCTCTGAAGAATGAGGTTCAACCCTGCCCTGCTACTCCTGTTCTTGGCCTGCTGCCTTTGCACCTCCCCCGCTATGATTAATTACTTGGTTCTGCTGTGCCACCCTGACTAGATGGTAGGGCCACAAAAGCAAGAACCATGTCTGCCTTGATCTCAGCCATGTCCTAGGCACTGGCACACCACCTCACCCACTACCTCAACCCCGCTGAGGAAGCGAATGCTCTCATGATAGACTGCATCATCTGAACCCTTTTATTCATGGACAAATATGCCTACCTTTGTCACTTGCGTTAACAGAAAAAGCTATATTGCTATCAATGGGAGTGTACTCAGAGACAAAGTACCGCTTTCTGAAAAACAGAAGGAAGAAAATAGTATTAGTGGACTTCATCACAATGAGGTTGTATAGGGGACATTCCTGTAATCCCACGAAATGCTTTCTTCTTCCTCCTGGCCTCCTCCTCCCTAATTACTGCCTTCTTTCCCCTAAGTTTCCTTGCATTGGGTCCCTCTGCTCACCAGTCTCAGGAGAAAATTTAAGATTAAAAGAACAATTAATAAAGGATAATTTCATCTTGTGGTCCTTGTTTTATTTAAAACTTTTAGGCTCTTTAAAAACACGATACTCTCCCCAGTAGCAATGAGCACACCCAGATCTTTGTTTCTATATACCACTCTCCAATAAAAGGAATCAGAGCTCCTTGCAGGGCAGGGACAGGGAAAATATAAGATAAAGCTGGGGATGGGAGGCATATGCCAAAAGAATACAGGAGGCCAGGCATGGTGGCTCATGCCTGTAATCCCAGCACTTGGGAAGCTGAGGAGGGCAGATAACCTGAGGTCGAGTTCGAGGCCAGCCTGACCAACATGGAGAAACCCTGTCTCTACTAAAAATACAAAAGTAGCAGGGCGTGGTGGCACATGCCTGTAATCCCAGCTACTTGGGAGGCTGAGGCATGAGAATTGCTTGAACCTGGGAGGCGGAGGTTGCAGAGATCGTGACATCGCACTCCAGCCTGGGCAACAACAGTGAAACTCTGTCCCCAAAAAACAGGAGCCAGCCAGGAGGCATCCCCAATGGCCCAAACTGGAAAACTTTGAGTAACAAGATAAATGACAGCGTTGGATACAACCCACAGAATTAAAAGTCCATGATGTAAATAGCTGAGCAAATAAATAAGTGAGGGACAATGGATAGCTTTCTGTATAGAAGTCCAGCTAGTAAATGCAGAGGAAAACAGAAAAATCACTATTAGGCAAACACCTGAGTTGTAACTGTTGCAGACAAGACCCAACAATGAATGCTAAAATCAGAGGGTGACAGTTTGAGGAAGAATAAAATATTAGCATAGTCTCAAAGCATCTTCCTCCAAGATATTTATCAATTACAAAAGGAAAAGCAGTAACTTCACAATGAAGAAATCCAACAGACATCACCTTAAGCAAGTGATCAAGGTTAACATCACCAGGAAAGAGATGCATCAACATCAGGGACCCCTGCCATGATGCACTGAGAAAGACAGGACATGACTTCTGTGATGTACTTGTCAGAAACACAGCACTTCAATCTTATCATGAGAAAATACCACATAAAGCCAAATGGAAGAACACGCTACAAAATACCTGACCAGTATCATCAAGAGAGTCAAGGCCAGAAAAGGAAAACTGAGGAACTATCTGTCACAGATTGGAGGGGACTCATAAAACACAAAAATGTAATATGGGAACCCTGAAACAGGAAAGGGCATTAGAGGAAAAGCTGGTGAAATCTGATTAAAATCTGTGGTTTAGCTAACAATATACCAAGGGCATATTCATGGTTTTGATCATTGTACTGTGCGTTATGTAAGTTGTATCATCAAGGGAAAATGAGTAAAGGATATACATAAATTCTATCATTTTTGCAACTTTTTGGTTAAGTCTAAAATTATTTCCAAAATAAAAAGCAAAAAAGAAAGCAAAAAAACACTGTCCTAAATTAAGATGCAAATGTCTAAAAGGAAATGCATTTAATTAGATTTTAATCAGATTGGGCTCATTTGACTCTGACTTTCTTTTCTTTTCTTTTTTTTTTTTTTTTTTGAGACAGAGTTTTGCTCTTATGCCTGGGCTGGAGTGCAATGGCATGATCTTGGCTCACTGCAATGCAACCTTTGCCTCCCAGATAGCTGGGATTACAGTCGTCCATAACTGCACCAGGCTAATTTTTTTGTATTTTAGTAAAGATGGGGTTTCACTATGTTGGCCAAGATGATCTTGAACTCTTGACTTTGTGATCCACCCACCTCGACCTCCCAAAGTGCTGGGAGGCTGAGGCGGGCAGATTACCTGAGGTCAGGAGTTTGAGACTAGCCTGACCAAGATGGTGAAACCCTGTTTCTACTAAAAATACAAAAATTAGCCGGGCGCGGTGGCTCAAGCCTGTAATCCTAGCACTTTGGGAGGCTGAGGCGGGTGGATCACGAGGTCAAGAGATTGAGACCATCCTGGTCAACATGGTGAAACCCCATCTCTACTAAAAATACAAAACATTAGCTGGGCATGGTGGCGCATGCCTGTAATCCCAGCTACTCAGGAGGTTGAGGCAGGAGAATTGCCTGAACCCAGTAGGCGGAGGTTGCGGTGAGCCGAGATCGCGCCACTGCACTCCAGCCTGGGTAACAAGAGTGAAACTCCGTCTCAAAAAAAAAAAAAAAAAAAAAGAAAAAACAAAAATTAGCCAGGCATGGTGGTGAGTGCCTGTAATCCCAGCTACTGGGGAGGCTGAGGTAGGAGAATCGCTTGAACTTGGGAGGCAGAGGTTGCAGTGAGCTGAGATCGCACCAGTGCACTCCAGCCTGGGCAACAAGAGCAAAATTCCGTCTCAAAAAAAACAACAAAAAAAGAATGAATGGCTAATGCACAGTGCTTTTAAATCACACATCATTCTGAATAAACCAGTAAAATTCACTTCAAATGTTTAAGTGTTAAACAGGACTTTGATGGTTTAATATAATAGCTATAGGACACAATAAGCCATGTAATGGTATTCATGCAGGTATTTGGTTCCTGTTTTAAGTAAGCAAGGTCTGCCAAATGAAAGCTCAAAGTGCCAGTGGGCAATTTTGCTTTTCTTGCCCTGGATGACAAATAAAACTGCTTACCTGTAGCACCACACTGCAAAAAATGCTCCAAAAAACACAAGTAAAAACGCCATGTAGGTGATCCACATGATGACATACATGGCGTCCAGGCCGAGGATCGTCCAGGGAGCAGGAGGGGGTGGGGGCTGAGGCTTGGGGCCACATACAATAGAGCAGTCCTGGCAGCTACATGGCGCTGTAGCCTCATCCACAGACTCGTCACAGCCTTTGGTGGCATTATTCATGGGCTCCATCCCATGGACTGGAAAATCTACAGGAAGAAATTGTGTTGAGCACAAATTTCAAAAACATCAAAAATTTTGTATTATATTAAAAAACCCAAAGAAAAGCCCACTGAAATAGATACAACTGAAAGAAGAAAAAGAATTGGAGGTTTTAGTTTAATCAAATTATGTTTTGCTGCTTTGTCCTGTGGAATTTTAAGTTACCTCAACAAACTTGTGCATAGCGGTTTGTCCCTGATACAGCAATCCTCCAAGTATACCACATACCAAGGTAACCGTTCAATCATGTCCAATCTCCATTCTGAGGAGCTGGGCTGATACTACAGCGAGCTCTAGAAAAGCTGCCCCCCTCCCCGCTTTTAACTGCTTATTCTTTCAATTACAACAGCAATGCCTGAAGGCAATTCATTTCCTCCTCCACTCCCACTTCCAGCAGCCCCTAACTTAGCCAGAGCAGGGTAAATGTACCAGTTACCTCTCTTACTGGGAGAAATTCTAAAAACTAGTTACCTGAATGTGTTTATCTTCCTATTGTAGATTATGATTCTTCAACTGAGATTCATTCATTTATTCATGGAGAGATAGGGCTTTGCCCTCACCAAGGCTGGAGTACAAAGGCATGATCATAACTCACTGCAGCCTTGCACTCCTGGACCCAAGCAATCCTCCTGCCTCAGCCTCCCAAGTAGCTGGGACTACAGGTGTATGCCACCACACCTGGCTAATGTTTAATTATTTTGCAGAGATGGGGCCTCACTACATTGCCCAGGCTGGTCTGGAATTCCTGGCCTTAAGCAATTCTCTTGCTTCAGCCTCCCCAAGCACTGGTGAGCCACTGCACCCAGCCAGTTCCTTGGCTTTAAAACAGTATCATAAACACACCAAATTTGGAATCTTTATCCCTACCTGAAAACACGGGAGTGATAGTGAAAGGTGCCTGTCCGTTGTCCTTATTGAACATGTATTCAATCCAGTTGGTGGCATTACAGGCATCAACATCCTTCCCACACAGAAGTCCCAGGGCCTTGTCATTACTTGAGGGGGCCTCCACATCCCGGCAGGCATTGTACATTGCTAGAAGAGGAATCCCAAAGGAAAAAAGAGACAAGATGCTTGCTGTAATTCACAAGGCAAGATCTTACAAAAGGCCTCCTGAATGGAAACACAAACTCCATATGCACCATGCTGGAATGCTGGACAGCAAACACTAAGAGCAGGAACAGAGACTCCCTTTACATTGGCTTATCACCCTGCAAATAATATGGAGGCCCAATTACGAGTAACTTAAAAGTAAAAAACAGACAGGAAAGGGAAAGGCACATATTATCACACGGTTCTCACAACAGCGTGGAGAAGTCGTCCCCACTGTACAGAAGAGCATACTAAGGCCCAGGAAGATGAAGCTAAGAGCCTTAGTATTTCTTCAGTTAACAAAGCTGGTTCCAGAAAACCTCTGCCGCAGGAAGCTACACAGCCAGAGAATTACGGAACTTACTTGGAAAACTGGTTTTAGGGTTATCTTCTTGGGTTTTATTTTATTACGCATAAAGACAACATACTACGTAAGGATAGCATCAGTGTTTTACACCTAAGAAAATAGATGGAATGGGTCCTGTACTGTCAATTCTCATTTACCAGTCCTTGCTTGTTAGAAACTTCCCAGGATCTTCTTTCCATAACCTTCAAGAAGATGTTTACACATTCATTTTGTTTTACCCTCATTCTGGAAAAGACAGGTTAGCTGGAGTGACAGTCATCTCCCTCAGAATTCTCAACAGATTATTCCATTGTCTTCTGGGCTCTATCATGGCTGGTAAAAAAAAATCTCCAATTATCATTGTCTTAAGGAGATTTGTGTCTTATTTCTATTTGTTTTTAAGATATTTGTCTTTGGGCTGGCCAAGGTCGTGGTCACTCACGACTATAATCCCAGTACTTTGGGAGGCTCTAGTGGGTGGACTGCTTGAGCTTAGGGGGTCCAAACCAGCCTGGGCAACATGGCAAAACCCTATCTCTACAAAAAAAAAAAAATTAGCTAGGTGTGGTGGCGCACGCCTGCAGTCCCAACTACATAGGAGGCTGAGATACGAGAATTGCTTGAGCCTGGGAGGCAGAGGTTGAAGTGAGCCAAGATCGCACCACTGCACTCCAGCCTGGGCGACTAAGACCCTATCTTAAAAAAAAAAAAAAAAAAAAAAAAAAGAGAGACAAACTAGTTTTAAAAAGAAAAACAACATATTTGTCTTTGGAGTTTTATAGCTTTTTTTTTTTTCTTCTTTTTTGAGATGGAGTCTCATTCTGTTGCCCAGGCTGGAGTACAGTGACTCTATCTTGGCTCACTGCAACCTCCGCCTCCCGGGTTCAAGAGATTTTCCCACCTCAGCCTCCTGAGTAGCTGGGATTACAGGTGTGCACCACCACAACCACCTAATTTTTGTATTTTCTTTTTTTTTTTTTTTGAGACAGAATTTTGCTCTTGTTACCCAGGCTGGAGTGCAATGGCGCGATCTCGGCTCACCGCAACCTCCGCCTCCTAGGTTCAGGCAATTCTCCTGCCTCAGCCTCCCGAGTAGCTGGGATTACAGGCACACGCCACCATGCCCAGCTGAATTTTTGTATTTTTAGTAGAGACGGGGTTTCACCATGTTGACCAGGATGGTCTCGATCTCTTGACCTCGTGATCCACCCGCCTCGGCCTCCCAAAGTGCTGGGATTACAGGCGCGAGTAATGGAGTTTTACCATGTTGGCCAGGCAGGTCTCGAACTCCTGACCTCAGGTGATAAGCCTGTCTCAACCTCCCAAAGTGCTGGGATTACAGGCCTAAGCCCTGTGCCTGGCCTGGAGTTTTATAGTTTTTCTAAGCTATACTGAGGTATAGATGTTTGGCTTTTTAAAAAACAGCTTCATTGAGGTATAATTCACATACTGTACAATGTACCCCCTTAAACTATATAATTTAATAGAGTTTAGCATATTCTTAGGTATATGCAACCATCACCAGTCAATTTTAGTACATTTTCATCACCTCCAATGAAATCTTGTACTCTAGCTATGCTCACCTACCTCCCCATCTCCCTAAGCAACCACTGATCTGTCTCTATTTCAGACATTTCACATAAATCCAATCATATAATATGCAGTATCTCACGACCAGCTTCTTTCATTTAGCATAATGTTGTCAAGGTTCACACATATTGTGGCACGTATCAATACGTCATTCCTTTTTACGGCCAAACATTTCACTGTACAGATATACGTTTTGTTTATCCATGTATCAGCTCAGTTGTTTCCACATTTTGGCTATTATCAGTAATGCTGCTATAAGCATTTGTATATAAGTTTTTGTGTTGGCCTATGTTTTCATTCGTCTTCTGGGTAGAATTGATGGGTCATATGGTAGTTCTACGTTTGTTTCAGGAACTGCCAGACTGTTTTCCAGAGTGGTTATACCACTTTACATCACCACCAGCAATGCTTTTTCTTTTTGAGATGGGATCTATTCTGTCACCCAGACTGGAGTGCAGTGGCATGATCTCGGCTCACTGCAACATCTGCTTCTCAGGCTCAAGTGATCCTCCCACCTCAGCCTCTCAAGTTGCTGGGACTACAGATATGCACCACCATACCCAGCTAACTTTTTTGTAAAGATGGGGTTTCACCATGTTGCCCAGGATGCTCTCAAACTCCTGAGCTAAGGTGATCCACCTGCCTTGGCGTCCCAAAGTGCTGGGATTATAGGTGTAAGCCACTGTGCCCAGCCAATGTTTTTGTTTTTGGGATTTCTTCATGATAAAGGTTCCTATTTCTTCACAGCCTTGTCAACACTTCTTGTTATCTGTCTTTGAGTCTAGCCATCCTGGTGGGTATGAAGTGGTATCTCACTGTGGTTTTGATTTGTATTTCCCTGATGACTCATAATGTTGAACATCTCTCATGTGCTTGTTGGCTATTTGAATATCTTCCTTGGAGAAATGTCTACTCTATTCAGATCTTTTGCCATTTTAAATTGGGTTATTTATCTATCTATCATTGAGTAGTAAGATTTCGTTTTGTTCTTTTTTTTTTGGAGACAGAGTCTAGCTCTGTTGCCCAGGCTGGAGTGCAGTGGCACGATCTCGGCTCACTGCAACCTCCATCTCCCAGGTTCAAGCAATTCTCCTGCCTCAGCCTCCTGAGTAGCTGGGATTACAGGCACCCACCATCACACCTGGCTAATTTTTGTATTTTAGTAGAGACAAGGTTTCACTATGTTGGCCAGGCTGTTCTCGAACTCCTGACCTCAGGTGATCTGCCGGCCTCAGCCTCCCAAAGTGCTGGGATTACAGGCATGTATCACTGTGCCCGGCCAAGAGTTCTTCATGTAGTCTAGATACAAGTCCCTTATCAAATATATAATTTGCAAATATTTTCTTTTCCTTTTGAGATAGGGTCTCACTCTGTCACCCAGGTTGGAGTGCAGTTTGCTCAGTGCAGCCTCCCTGGGCTCAAGCAATCCTCCTGCCTCAGATGCCTATGAAACTGGGACCACAGGTACATGCCACCATGCCTGGATAATTTTCTTTTTTTTTTTTTGAGATGGAATTTTGCTCTTGTCGCCCCAGGCTGGAGTGCAATGGGGCGATCCTGCCTCCGCCTCTCGGGATCAATTCTCCTGCCTCAGCCTCCCAAATAGCTGGAATTACAGGCATGCACCACCACTCCTGGCTAATTTTTTGTATTTTTAGTAGAGATGGGGTTTCTCCATGTTGGTCAGGCTGGTCTTCAACTCCTGACCTCAAGCAATCCACCCACCTTGGCCTCCCAGAGTGTTAGGATTACAGGCGTGAGCCATCACGCCCGACCCATGCCTGGCTAATTTTTGTGTGTGTGTGGACACAGGGTCTCACTTTGTCATCCAGGCTGGTCTTGAATTCCTGGGCTCAAGCAATCCTCCCGCCTCAGCCTCCCAAACTGCTGTGATAACAGGTGTGAGTCACTGGGCCCGGCCTTCTTGTCTTTTCTTGATGGTGTCCTCTGAAATACAAGCTTTTTTATTTTAATGAAGCCCAATTAATCTTTTTTTGTTGTTGCTCATGTTTTTGGTTTCATTAAGAATCAAGTGCCAAATATGAGGCCATGCAAATTTAATCCCTATGTTTTATTCTGTTTTATAGTTTTAGCTCTTACATTTAGGTCTTCGATCCATTTTGAGTTAACTTCCTTAATATATGGTGTGAGGTAGGGTCCAATTTCATTTTTTTTGCATGTGTATATCCAGTTATTGCAGCATCATTTGATAAAGACTATTCTTTTCTCATTGAATGGCCCTGGCACCCTTGTCAAAAATCAGTTGACCACAGATATATTATTTATTCTCAGTTATATGCGACTGATCTATATGTCTATCTTTATTCCAGTACCACACTGTCTTGATTTCCATTGCTTAATTTTGACTGAGAAGTGTGAGTCTTCCTACTTTGTTCTTTTGTTCAGGGTTGTTTTACTATGAGTTCCTCAAACTTCCATATGAATTTCAGAATCAGCTTGTCAATTTCTACAAAGAAGTCATTTGGGATTACAGCAGAGATTGCCCTAAATCTATAAAACAACTTGGAGAATACTGACATCTAAACAATAGTAAGTTTTCTGATCCATAAACATGGAATGTCTTTCATTTACATCCTCATTAATTTCTCTGAATAATGTTCTTTAAAGTGTTTTACCCTTCTGTAATAGTTACTCCTAATTATTTCCTATACTACAGTAAATGGAATTATTTTCCTATTTTCACTTTGAGATTGTCCATTGAAAGTGCATATACAACTGATTTTTGTATAATGAATTTTCTCTAAGTCTGAGGATTCATCCCTTATCCATTATGGAAAATACTTATTATCCCTTTGATTATTATTGTCTCTCCCCAATTCTCTGGAGCTTATGTTATCCTATATGTCATTTCTTTAATGATTTACAGATCTTTATATCTCTATGCTGTTTTCTGGGTAATTCCCTAATATCTTCCAGCTTACCATTTGGTTTTCAGGTTTTATTAGATATTTCAAACATACAAAAAATATGGAGAATAATACAATTCTCATTTCCTTATTACCCAGTTAATTATCAGTCTTACCATTTTACATTTGCCTCAACATTAAAAAATAATGGATTCGGCCAGGTGCAGTGACTCACACCTGTAATCCCACCACTTTGGGAGGCTGAGGTGGGAGGATCACTTGAGGCCAGGAGTTTGAGACCAGCCTGGGCAACAAAGCAAGAGGCTATCTCTACAAAAAAAAATTTTTTTTTTAAATTAGCCAGGTGTGGTAGCATATGCCTGTGGTTCCAACTACTCAGGAAGTTGAGGCAGGAGGAATGCCTGAACCTAGGAGGTTGAGGCTGCAGTGAGCTATGAATGCATCACTATACTCCAGCCTGGGTGACAAAACAAAACCTTGACTCTATTTTATAATAATGCACTATTCAGAACGATTGGCTATGGCATAATAAAAATAAATAAATCAATAAAAATAATAATGCCCTATAGGCCAGGTGTGGTGGCTCACACCTAGAATCCCAACACTTAGGAAGGCCACGGCAGGAGGATCACTTAAGGCCTGGAGTTCAAGACCAGCCTCACCCACACAGTGACACCCATCTCTTCCAAAAAATAAAGACTTAAGCACACACACAGTCTATAGATTCAGTTGAAGCTCCCCAATGAGCCCTTCCTGCCAGCAGTCAGTCCCTTCCCTAAGGTAAACACAATCCTGAATTTGACGTTAATCTCCTTCCCATGCATTTTTCTGTACTTGTATGTTTTGTAAGTATGTAGCACTTTTGTTTTAAAATGTCATACATTATAGTATCATACAGAGTATTTTCACCACCTAAAAATCTGCGCTTTGCTCATGCCTTCCTCTCTCCTAACCCATAGCAACCACTAGCCTTTTATTATCTCCACAGTTTTGCCTTTTCTATATTGTCATATAGTGGAATCATATAGTAAGTAGCCTTTTCAGATTGGCTTTCCTTAGTAATAGGATTTAAGGTTCGTCCATGTATTTTCACGGCTTGATAACACTTTTTCGCACTGAATAATATTCATTGTGTGGATGTAGCGGTTTACCCATTCACCTGAGGGAAATCTTGGTGGCTTCCAAATGTTGGCATTTTATGAATAAAGCTGCTATAAATATCCATGTGCAGGTTTTGGAGTAGACACATTTTTAACTCATTTGGGCGAATACCAAGAAGTATGATTAGTTTTGTAAGAAACCGCTAAACTATCTTCCAAGGTGGCTGTACCATTTTGTACTCCCACCATCAATGAATGAGAGTTCATTGCCAGCATTTGGTGTTGCAGGTGTTTTGAATTTTGGCCACCATTAAGATGTGTAGTGGTACTCGTTTTAATTTGTAATTCTCTAATGACATAATATTGAGTATCACTTTTCATGTACTTATTTATCACCTGTATGCCTTCTTTGGTGAGCTTTCTGTTCAGGTTGTTCTGTCCATTTTTCAAGCGGGCTGTTTGTTCTCTCATTGTTGAGTTTTAAGAGTTATTTGTATATTTTGAGTAATAGTGCTTACTAAGATATGTCTTTTGCAAACACTTTCTCCCAATCTGTGTCATGTCTTCTCATTCTTTTGAGGTCTTCAGTTTTTCATAATCCAATAATGTTATAGTGGATGTTATTACATGGGTCTTACATGGGTCTCCTGGTTTATATGCATTTACAGTTTCTCTAAAGCAGGTATCTATAAGTGAAATTTCTGAGAGGAAGGTTATCTTCAACTTTACTACATATTGCAAAACTGTTTTTCAAATGGTTTTCAAACAATTGCACCAAATTATGATTACAAGTGGTGGAGTGTATTAGTATTCCTATTGCTTCACATTTTCACCAATAGTTGGAATTGACCAACTTTTTAATTTGTGCCAAGCTGATGAGGTGTAACATGGTAGTTTACTGTTTTAATCTGCATTTTGCTGACTGCTCTAGATCGTTGTTTATATCCATAAATATTTCCCTTATGGTTTCTGCTTTTCCTCTCCTGTCTAGAAATCTTTCCTTTATCTTAAAGTCATAAAGATATTCTATATTTACTTTTAAAAATTTCCAATTGGGATTTTTAATCTATACAATTTATTTTTATTATATGTAAAAATTAAAATTAGATAATCTATTTTTTCATCCCATTTATCAACTAGCCCACCTTTTCTCTCAATGACTTTGTTATGACACACGTGTTACACATCCACTTTCCATATATGTAGGCTTCTGTTTCTGGACAAAATGATCTCTTCTATTCAGTCAGGCTGCTTTCTATGTCATATCTTTTGGATTCCTAAGTGCCTTATGTTTTGTTGCTTTGTGAATGAGACCTTTCTTCTATTGAATTTTTTGTTACCTTCTTAACTTTGTAATTATAATTAAATGTTGTATGTTGGTCAATGCTGGGGGGTGATTTCTGCTATTTGTTAGACCTGCTGACTTTCCTTTATGGTGATCTGATTCTTCAGTCATGATCTCTTCTCTGGCAACTATTAATAGTTCTATTTCCTCAGTCTTGCAGTAATTTATGACATTACACAACTCATGTCTGCTAGAATCAAAGATCCAATGGTTACTGAAGTGTATGGATGCAAACTTGCACATACTAAAATTTTCCACGTGGAAAGTTAAAGTTAGGGGGAGTTAAAGCAAATGCTTTAAGAAGATTGTTATATTGGCTGTAGTTCAAGTCCTAGGATACAAGCAAAGCAATAACTCTTATTTCCTGGCCAATGGAACTGAAAATTGTGATCTTCCAGAGTTTACAGGACAACTAAAAGGAACAATTTGCTCTGCTGTCCTGATGCCAGCTTTAAAAGAGGAATAACTGAAAGTTTACTTACCGTTGGCAAAACTCTGTCCAACATAGTACTGTAACTCTTTCACATTTGTTTTTGTCTGGTTTGTAACAGGATCAACATAATCTTCAGTTGCTGTAACATTCAAAAACTGACTCTGTCGAGGGCTACATGTCAGCTCACAAAACAGGTTCAGTAGGTTATAAAAACAGGATGGACATCTAAAGGAAAAGTAAATTAGATTCTGCATGATTTCACACATAATAGGGCCAGTGAAACAATTTTAAATAGATAAAGGATATTTTAAACTTATTGTAAGGTGACAAATTACCAAGAGAACATATTAAAAATCAGCAATTCTAAACTTAAAACCTCATGTTAAAATAAAGGCACACCTTTAAAAAATGCCCTAATTACTTACTGTATTTATTATGTCCAATTATAATTTCAAAAAGAGAAAGATGCTTCTCTGAATTCTGCACTTTATAATTTAGAGACATACATTCTCTGACTTAGAGTAAAGGGACTTTGGAGTATCATGGAGACAATTATTATTATTACTATTTTTCAGACAGGGTCTCATTTTATCTCCCAGGCTGAGTGCAGTGGCATGATCACAGCTCACTGCAATCTCAAAGCCAAAGCTCAAGTAATCCTCCCACCTCAGCCTCCCAAGTAGCTAGGACTACTGGCACACACCACCACACCTGGCTAATTAAAAAAAATTTTTTTGTAGAGACAAGATGGTCTCGAACTCCTAAACTCAAGCAACCCTCCTGCCTTGGCCTCCAAAGTGCTGGACATGAGCCACTGCACCAGTTGACAGTTTTGATTAAGAAGAAAATAAAATAAAATAATGAGCATCATCATGAGAATCTTCATCTTATAACCGATTGAAAGGTTTTCTTCCAAGCCCCAGAAAATCCTTAGACCCTCCTGAAACACAAGAAGAAATCCCCATGTTTTGTAAAGACAGAGAACAGCAAAGGTCTTTTCTGGTTGCATGCACTTCAGGAGCATACAAATTTCAAAAGAACCATAAGCTGCCTGCTATCCTTCAGGTTCAAAGTTAAAGCTCCTAATGTTGACTTGTTACATAGCAAAAGAACTCTCTTTTCCCTTTGGTCCACTGTTACTTGCAAAAGCTATTGTTTCATTAGACTTGCATTCTTGCAACAAAACCAATCAAGATTTCTTTATACTCTGATCCAGTCCCAGTGACCAAGTAAAACAAAGAATTAAATAAGTGTGTCCCAGCCTTCAATAGCCTCTGTTCTAGTGAAGGAGATAGAGAAGCACAGACTTTCTTTCTTTCAGGAGCCCCACTGCTTTACTGCAACAAAGCCAGAAACTACAATTACATTATTCTAATAGGAATCACTCTTGGGATGCACAGTTTTCAAACTTTTTCCATGTTACTACATTTAATGCCCACAGTCACTATTTTGACAGCTGCATATTTTTCCAAATATACAGTTGTTTCTCCTATTTGCTTTTATAAATCAAGCTTTGGTGTCTCTGATAACATGCAGAAAGGTTGGCTATCTTTTTAAGTTTATGTCCACAGTGTCTCACCTAGAGTGGATACTAAATAAATGTGTTTTGACTGAGTGTACAAGGCTCCAATTTGGCTCCATCAATGTCCACAAGCCTTTCATAGCATGTGCTGGCCCAATTAGAGTCTCAACTTTTGTTGTCCTGAAAAAAACAATTTAGTGGTGGTTTTCTATTCTCTATTGTCAACTTCTGTTAAGAAGCAGAATTTCTTCACTGGCCAACTTGTGCCCTATCACCACCTGCAGTGATACTTGCACAGAGCAGCATTTTCCCTTTTTAATATTTGCTTCCCAAACATCTTTACCAGAGTGCTTTACTCTGAAAAATTTAGAAAGATATTATAATCTGCTGTTTTAAAGACCATCACCAGCTTGTTCTTTTGCATATTTGAGAATTGCTGGGTAGGCCTAGAGAAGAACATCTACTACCAGGCCCTTTTTCACTGCTCAGGGTCACAGCCAACAGATCAGACAGAAAACTAAATCTGATAAAACCAGCCAGCTACACCAGAACAAGCTTGTTAACAGTTCCCCAAGGCCAGCTCTACCGAGGACCTGGCTCTAGCACATCCCTTCACCAGAGGGAGAGACAAGAATGATGTGCAAAGCAGGGGATGGGGGGAGAGGAAGGACTGCATGGTAAGAGTCTCTGGCCAGGCACCTAAGCAGGACCACTAGGAACCTCTCTTCCAAACAGTGCACAGCTCAAGTCTGAAAGGAGCCTGGCCACAGTGCAGACACCCTGCAGGGTAAGGACATCTCAGAGGAAACCAAGCATCAACTCTGAATGCAACTGGGAAGTGAACTAAGTCTGATAATTACTGTTTTTCTCTTTATTTCTGACAAATTTTAAGAGTATGTTCTTAAAATAAAACAAAAACTGACTTTAAAAAAATTGGCTGGGCACTGTGGTTCATACCTATAATCCCAGCACTCTGGGAGGCTAAGGTGGAAGGATCATTTGAGGCCAGGAGGTTGAGGCCAGGAGGTTGAGACCAGCCTGGTCAACACAGTGAGACCCCCATTTCTAGAAAAAGAATACAAATTAGGCTGGGTGCAGTGGCTCATGCCTGTAATCCCAGCACTTTGGGAGGCAGAGGCAGAGAACTGCTTGAACCTGGGAGGTGGAGGTTGAGGTGAACCAAGATTGTGCCATTGCACTCAGCCTGGGTGACAGAGCGAGACTCTATCTCAAAAAAACAAACAAACTGACTGGAAAAAGCAAAAACAAAAACAAAAACAAAAAAACTGGCTGGGCACTGTGGTTCACACCGATAATCCCAGCACTCTGGGAGTCTAAGGTGGGAGGATAATTTGAGGCCAGGAGTTCAAGACTGGCCTGGCCAACATAGAGAGACCCCCATCTCTAGAAAAAGAGTAAAAATTAGGCTGGGTGCAGTGGCTCATGCACCCAGCACTGTAATCCCAGCACTTTGGGAGGCCGAGGTGGGCAGATCACTTGAGGTCAGGGATTCGAGACCAGCCTGGCCAACATGGTGAAACCCCGCCTCTACTAAAAATATAAAACTTAGCTGGGCATGGTGGCATGTGCTTGTAATCCCAGCTACTTGGGAGGCTGAGGCAGGAGAATCGCTTGAACCCAAGAGGAAGTTGCAGTGAGCTGAGATCACATCACTGAACTCTAGCCTGGGTGACTGAGCAAGACTCTGTCTCAAAAAAAAAAAAAATTGACAAAGAAAAATAAATAAAATTAGCTGGACATGGTAGTGCATGCCTATAGTCCCAGCTGCTTAGGAGGCTAAGGTAGAACAATCACTGGAGCCTAGGAGGCTTAAGCTGCAGTGAGCTATGATCATACCACACGCCACTGCAACTACAGCCAGGGCAGTAGAGTGAGACTCTGTCTCTATTACATACACTCACACACACACACACACATTATATATAGATGTATATGTATTTTTAATATATACATATTTAAATATATATTCACCCATTTTAAATGCATACATATATGTATAAACATATAATATAAATACATTAATATGAAATAGCTACATTAATATATACACATATAATATATAAATAAAAATATGTAAACAAAGAATAAATGGAAAGCTGACATTACCGGTTCACAAGTACCTACAGCCCAGTTCTGTTTCCCCAGCGGAACCTACCTGGACAGAAACTGTAGAGGCAGCTGCAGGTTGTCTTTCAGTGTCTGAAGCTGCTGAACATCACAACAGAGACTGACATTGCCAAAGAAGAATCCTGGACAGAGTTCCTTTCAGGTAAAAGAGCACAGATACAGGAGTAGGCAGTAGTTAAAATAAGGTCAACATTCCTCAGTAAACTAAGCCATATTCATTCATGTAATCCTTTTGAAGTACACAGGGGTAAAACATGTATTTGGTTTAAAACGTTCTTATAGAATTATTTTAAAAAGTGATACATTTACTACTTATTCACGAGTAGAGGCAGTAGAGATGTTTCTAATTTTCTTTTTATATGGAAGATTTCTCTCCTCTCCTGACAACCATTTTATGTCTTCTTAGGGTTTTTTGTTTAAGTTCAGCCAGAGTGCTCCTTACCATTTCTATTAGTCATTCTAGGGAAAGTTGAAACCTTTAATAATTACGATGAAAGACACAAGTGAGGGGCCGGGTGCAGTGGCTCACGCCTGTAATCCCAGCACTTTGAGAGGCTGAGGCGGGCAGATCACGAGGTCAGGAGATGGAGACCATCCTGGCCAACATGATGAAACCTCGTCTTTACTAAAATCCAAAAAATTAGCTGGGCGTTGTGGCCAGTGCCTGTAATCCCAGCTACTCAGGAGGCTGAGGCAGGAGAATCACTTTAACCTGGGATGGAGCGGTTGCATTGAGCCGAGATCATGCCACTGCACTCCAGCCTGGCAACAGAGTGAGGCTCCATCTGAAGAAAGAAAGAAAGAAAGGAAAGAAAAAGAAGAAAGAAAGAAAGAAAGAAAGAAAGAAAGAA